CGGCATTTTTCAATATGTAGATATGTATGTAGCTAAAAAATAATTTTGTTTATAATAATTGGCTGCCACGTCACCTTTAAGACATGTTTTAAGGTATTGACATTTTTTAAATGTAATTAAGTCTTTCATTTTGGCCATCAAACTATTAACTAAAGAAATAAATTCTCAGAAATGTTCCATGAACCCCGAAAGGTATATATGTATACAAAATTTAGGTATTAGTCAATTAAAAATATGATAAAGAATAACATACAAAAAAATACGTTATTTATTTTATTATTTTAAAAGCAGGTAAAAAGATAAAAAGATAAAAATAATTTAAATCATTTCATTCATATTAAATTAATAATTTCTACAGCATTTATTTACAATGTTTTTTGGCAAAGCATCCCATGCAATAATGTGGATTTTGTGAAAAAATATCACAATATTAGTAATTTTGTTTTTATTATTTCCTGTTTTTTTCTATTTTGCAAGTGCAATGAGTGGTAGTTTGATTATTTGGGAGTTACCTTGGATCATTCCATCCCCATCATTTATAGGAATGATCAATAAAAAAAAGGAAAATTTCCCTAGCTGCATCTACTAAATCATTAACGTTACTTTTTTCATGTAGTTTTCAATATTGTCTTGAACTTTTCCTCTAAAGATATTAATCGATCAATACTCGGTTAAAAACTTTCTAGATTTTTAGATTCATTATAAATGCTTTGGACCAAAGCGAATATGTCTTTCCGATTACTTCTTGATAATTGTGTCCGCTGCTTTACAGAAAGATATTTCATTATAATTAGTCAGCTACAAAAAAAGATTACTCTTTATATAATCTATTACTTAGCTTTAGCACTAGTAACCCGGTTGAGACAATAGCGTAGGGATCTCCTGGAGTCCGATTTTTTCCTCTATAGTTGGAGGGAAAAGTCTGTCTCGGAGTTCTCTCTCCTGCTTGTAAATAGTGTACAAAGGTATCTTTGAGTTTTTTTTTTTTAATTATTTGTTTTTGTTTTTTGTTTCATTTATCGTTATATTATTTTTATTTATCACATATACTTATAGATTATTATTTAGTTGTTATTTTGCTTCGGTATATTTTATCTTTTCTTTATATACAGTCTAAATGTAGTCTTACCCCTCTAAAATTATTGTCCAAGTGACAGAATATATTATCCAGTTTTTTTTTAATCATGCATAGTAGCCTATGCAGTAGGAATTTGTTTGCAAAAGTTTACATACACCATGAGAATTCGCATATTATATAAATCTTCAAAAATTTTCGCATTTAAATCAAAAATAAATTTCTCATATTAAATAAATTTTTAAAAAATCTATATGAATTGAATTGAAAACTATATGAATTAATATTAGGTAACAAAGTACTATTAAAACATATACACTTAAAAATATTTTCCTAGTCTAATGTAAACATAGTTGCAACATATAATTTAAATTAATATCAAAATTACTTTGAAAACAATACAGGTGACAAAAACATATGTATTTATTATGCTGATTAATTGCTGATATATTAAAAACATCAATGTAACAAAAATTAAATTAGTTTAAATTATCCATAAAACATATGTTCATATGAAAGTAAACATATTTCTGTGACATACGGTATTTATTAAAAATAAGAGTAAAAGATATGTACTTACACTACAATTTAAAAAAAAATCCTTTAATTTACACTTATATATAAACAGAATATTTTCATGTATATATGAAATGAACAAGAAGACTAAAAAAAAAAAAAAAGACAAAATAACTTATCCGACCATACATCAAATTTACACAAACTCATTCTAGCAGCAGATATAATCAACTATTATTTTTCGGCTTACTATTGTTGCAAATAATTTCTTTTATAATAGAAAAATAAATTTAATCCTGGGACAAAGTCCCCTCAGAACAACAACGATGAAAAAAAAAAAAATATCTGGCCAAAAACTAACTTAATAAAAATTTTAAATATATACATTAATTTAAATAACAGTATGTAAACAACTAAACAAATAGAAATAAAATCTTTTCAATAGTATTTGTTGTTGTAACGTGAGAAAAGAAAAAAAAAATATATATATATATATACATAGAAATAAAAAACAAGATCTGGAGAAAAGAAAAAATAACAAATGTAAGAAAAGAAAAACCTTTTTTTTTTGTTAACATCAACAATAGACTAAGTTAAAAACTAACATAATAGAAATTCTAACAGTATATACAGTAATTTAAAATAATCTGTGAATACTAAAAAAATAAAATCTTCTCGAGATTAATTATAATTGTAATGGGAATAAAAAATATATGCTAAAAGAAAAAGCAAAACCTGGAAAAAAGGCAAATCAGCAAAAGTAAGTGAAGAAAAAGCATTGATTTCAGATGTTTAAACATAAACAGAGGCTAACCTAATAACAAACTAACAATAAAAATTATAGCATATTTACAGTAATTTAAATCATAATATGTAAACAACTAAAAAAAATCTCCTTTAGCATAATTATAGTTGTAATTGGAGAAAATAAAATAAAAATACATACATATACTCAAAACTTATATATGTCAGATGTAAAAACTTAAAATGTAACTATGCACTACTATTTCCTTCTAATAAAATTCATCTGTTTCAGCTGTAAGGAAGTATAGAAAAAGGAGGCATTTGAATGATGACAGAGAAGAGGCATGACGTATGTTAGATGGTAAGGAATTCGAGAAGTTTACGAAGCGAGCTAAGGATGATTGTTCGTAGGATTTAGTTCTGTAGGAGGAAATATAGAGGTCAGAGACACGGGATCTTGTTTTCTGAGATTGGACTGAGGGTTTGAGCTGAAGGAGAGAATAGATACAGGAAGGGTTGATCGTTTCCTAGGAAGTATTAAGGCGAAGGAGGTAGGAAGGCGAATCCGATGTCAAGAAGATATGATATGTCCGAAAATCCAAGAACAGACCCAGAAGAATATGTTCGAAAATGCAAGAATATCAAAGCAACTAAAAATAATTATATATATATATATATATATATATATGTGTGTATATATATATATATATATAATATAATATATATATTAGATAATAATATATATATTAGAGTCAATAAAAAAAGTAATGTCTCACTGGTATGACATTGTCGCTACGAGGGTTTTATCTTAAGAGGTCCCCTTCGTGCACTTCTCAAGCAATTTTTTTTTAGAGATTCAAAATCGTAATTGTTCACGATACAACTGCTACAAACGAATTCCGAAATGCGAGAACGAAAAACAGTTGTCTAGTGAAAATCACCTGTTTAATAAATAACGGTAACCATGGTCTGGACTTACGGTTGCCAAGTTACAATGCAATGTACTCATAATAAAATATTTAAAACGTATAATAAATACAATTATAATTGAGGAGCAATAGATATCATCAATATCTAATATTGCGGATATAAATTTAACCGTCAAACTTTTGAAAATATTTATTAAATTTTACTTTTAAAACCCTTTGGAACCACTTTAAAAAAGGACGATAAAGTACTTGAAAGTCGAAAGAATATGTTTCTATACATAAATAAATTGAAGTTTTGTCTTATTCTTCTCACATTGCGCCATTTTGGAGTGGACAAAAAGGAGAAGTACTGAGAAGTTGTGCTTACTAAGAGTAATTTTATCATCGCGATGAGCACTGAAATAACCTATCATTTATATTCACTGTAAATTATAAATTAAAACTTTTGATCGGTGAAATCAACTACAATAAAAAATCAATTTTCTCTTCATATCTTATTGATACATATAAATCAACTTAATCAAAGAATTTTTTGTATTTTAAAGTTGACAGCTAACATCACAATTACTTACCATTTATTTTACAAGTTGGCTCAGATGTTCTGAAGACACGCATAAGTAACAAAAACTGGAATATAAAGTAAGTCATTGATTTTTACTAATTTGCTTATGTATCCATATAATTATACGATAATATCATAATTAAATAATATATCGCATATGTTTTGATGTCATATGCTAACAAACGCGCATCGTATGACAGCTGGAAAGATTTATTCACCAGTCATTCGATAATATCTAGAACAACTTATCAGTGCTGACATATGCAAAGTTATATTTCTATGAATGAAGTTTAAATTTGTTTTACAATTATTTTAACTGTGTTATTGTTTATATTAATGTGCAATACTTAACTTCTGTTGCTTTATAGACAAGTAAATTGCAATTTTATCTTCTTTATTTAGGGTATGATTATTATTTCCGTCATAAAACCTTGATTTTATATATATGTGTTTTTTAATTTTCTAGAAAACAAATTAAAAAAAAAAAATGTTATCGTCATTTAAATTTTTTTTTTCGATTTTTATCGACTATAAAATAAGAAAGTTAAATAAGAAATATAGGAAAGCATATCCATTATTTCCTTCAAAACTACAATTGCTACATAATTAATTTAAAATAGTTCTAGGAAATAAAAAATTGATATTTATCCATTTCAATTATATTTAACCCAGTTTCTCGAAGAAGTCATAATAACGTGTTTCCCTTTATTTTCAATAATGATAGAAATATTGTATCCTTTAAAAAGTTTATTTTGCTATTTTAATTTTTATGGAAAGTTTTCCAATAGTTTCTAAAAATGTATGCAATTTTTTATATATTTAATGTGTGCCTTAAATTAAACTCATTACTTTAACTTTAAAAAAAAAATAATGTAAAAAGGTAATAAGGAACAGAGGTAATAAGATATTATTTATATTATATAACACTCAATGTATTATACTATATTTGATATACCCTTGAATGTCTTTGGTTGTTGTTCCGAGATGACGTTGACATTTTTACCCATTGAAATGAATAGACATTTTTAATTTAGTCCTTAAATATTTCATATCGATCTATTTCGATTGAGATCCTGAACACGACCTTATCCCTTAAGAGTAATTTATATGCTTAAAAAAATACGGCTGTAATAAGAAAATGTGCATTTATTTTACAGATTTATTTATACATTGCTTAAAAATTATTATGGTGATAGCCACATAACAACAAAATAAATAATAATATTGCCGTAGGTTGTAGCTTAAAGCCAGAACATCGAACAATATATTTTCCATCGGCATGCTGCTGGTCATGGGCTGTAAGAACAATTTTTTTTTAATGTATATCATAGCATCATTATTAACAATAACTTCAATAAAGTAATAAATATTTAATAGTAAGTAATTTAAGAATCCATTAGAATTGTTAAAATATCAAATCGAATGGGGAAAAAAATACATTTTACCTAACTGTATATCTTAAAAAGGAAGGTTACGGATGTGGGCTCACCGATTTTAGTGAAACTTTTTTTTGGTTATACTAGGTCGAAAAATATTTAACCTATATCCCCGGATTCTTGTGAATGCGCCATAGCAGCAGAGAAAAAAAATAGTAAAATATAACTGTTTTCCGCCTTTTTTCAACCTGAATTTCTAAGTTATTATACATCATCGATTGCTCATATTGCTATCATGATATTGCTCTTGTTATTACATGAATTCTAATGTATAATAAATTACAAAAACTCTAAAACGCTTCAAGTAAAATAGGCCAAGTAAATGTTGGTCATGTAAAAACGATTTATATTGTTTTTAGCCTCCACTAAAACTTTTAAATACGAATTCGTTTTGAAATATAAATTTTTTTAATCAATTTTATTAAAATATTCATAACTCCTCAGATTTTTCTCATATGTAAATCGTAATAGAATTGTTAGAAAGATAAATCATTGCTCTTCAAAACCATATCAATAATGCTTACATTTTACGTCTTTATAAATAAAGAAAATCTCTCTATACGTTTAATTTTTTATCTCTAAGCCTATAAATATATATAAACTGTACATACATTTTATAAAAAATGTCAAATCTTTGTTCAATATTTAATATCTTCTATTAATAGCTCTTAAGAAATCAATACATGTTTATTGCTGTTATAGTAGATATTACAACTATTAAATATATTGTATTTAAATATTAAGTTAATAACATAGTATGATAAATGATATTATAATTAATAAATAAAAATTAAATGAATAAATTACCAAAGTAATTATATTATTTATTAATTATAATATTCTGTTATTGTATATAGGTATGTATGTGTTCTTTTTATTCATTTATTTTTAGGTTATTTTATTCTTATTTATTGTATATATATATAATTTTTCTGTATAATTTATTTTATTTATTGTACATAGAGTGTGAATGTGATCTGTGAACACTATTATAAATGTCCTCGAGACAGATTGTAATATTTTTCAATAAAAAATAAAAATAAAAAAAATTCTGTAACTTAATAACGGAGATGGTCGAAAACCCCCAAAACATCACATAAAATATATATCATATTATTAATTTTTTAGTAAAACCTGATAATTTATTCCTTTTATTATTAATTGATTTGTGGTAATTTACTAGACATACCAAATCTAGTAGCACAAATTCACTAACGCTTTAAATGAAAGTTTGTTAAGAATATGTTTTTAGAATTTTTGGCAAAGTAATATTAAAATATTCCCCACAGTTGTATCACTATTAAATAGTCTGATGGTTCCAAATCCGATGATGCTACAGCTTGTTACCCATAACTCCACACATAAGATAAAACTACATAAACTAAGCAGCATATACACAGCGGAACTTCACGCAATAGCCTCAGCCCTCCACTTCTGGATGTCAATAACTCCAGCCTCAATAGTCTTGATAACCAACTCCTTGAGTTCATTAAAGGGTTTAAATGATATATACTCAAAACATCCAGTTATCCATAAAATACCTTCACACTCTGGAAAATTTAGGAAAATCGGTTTGTTTTATATAGGTTCCCAGTCAATTGGGTATAGTTGGTAATGAGCTTGCGGATACGGCAGCCAGACAGGCACTCGCGCTTCCACACCGAGTTACTATCCTGACCCCTCCAGAAATGAGTTTTCCTCTCAAAAAGGAAATATTGGATAGTTGGCAATCTGTGTGGAACGAAAGCCCACCTAGCAAATTAAAAGCTGTTAAAAAATCAGTTAAGCCCTGGATCACATCAAACCGCTCTAATCGTAGAGAGGAAGTCGCTGTGACCAGGTTAAGAATAGGACACACGAACCTAACTCATGTACATCTCATCACTAAGCAGCCACCACCAAATTGTCAGCACTGCAATAGCTCCCTCACAGTCAATCATATTTTCCAAAATGCACTTATTATACTTGAAGCCTAAATCGATTATCTCCAAAACCGGATATATCAGCGATATAAAGCAACAACGAATTAAACATAAAAACAGTGATACAATTTCTTAAAATACATAGACTGTTGAATAAAATATAAAAATAAATCCAATTTTTATTTTATTGTTCTTTCTTTTTTCAATATTTATTTTAATATATTTCATCTTTTATATGTTTTTAAAAATCTTTTTTATTTTTATTACTCTATCTATTATTAATTATTAATTCTCCATATACACTTTTAGAATTAATTTATTTTCAGCATACATTGAACTAATAGTGAGAGATTATTTATTTATTGAATTTGTTTTAAAGAATGGAGCGTCCTTTATAGAACAACACTTACCGCATAGGCTGGTGAATACGGTGGATTGAACACCTCTCTCGCATCTTGCGAGACCATTAAACTTCTCGTACGGTAGTTCGCCGCGGTGGTTACCACTTTCAGTAAAACACACATTAAATAATTAATGCTTATTTCACGTGAATAATTTAAATAAATGTTACTAATACAATATGGAAGATATCCGCAATGATAATTATTATTACAATACTTATGTGATAACTCATTTGTAAATAGTGCCGTTATTGCTTAATTTTTTGTTATACCTTCTCAAAGGAGAAAGCAAAAACTATTTGTGAAACATACAATCTAAATAACCAGGCACTGAACGTTTTACCAATAACTACACATCAAGATGAATAGCACTAAAAGTTATATTCCTGAATACTCCAAACCAGAGAGGATGATGGGGACAATGAAATCATCTTTACATTCATAAAAGAAAAATTTTGGCATAGTATGGTATAGGATTACCTCAGAAAGGTTGACAAAATGAATTGTAGAATTTCAACGAAAAGGAAGAACATCAGGTGAAAAGATGAAGTGGATAAAAGACTGGCAAAGGAATACAGATAAATTAAGAAAGATCTCTAAGTTAGGAGAGCCATATGTAAAGTTGCAAATAAATTAAATATAGATTTTCAATTATGAGTTACAATAACATAATGTAATCTTATATAGCAAAAATAGTAACGGATTTTTAATCTTACGGTGGTCGATAGTTGCACACCAATAAGGTCTGATATGGTGTGTGGTGATCATTAACGTTATCATAAAAAGCAAGACCACAGCCGACGTATTTCGTATCTGCCCAAATCATCTACAAAATATACTAATATATATTTTTCAAATCAAACAGGTTATTTATACGAATATTTTTGTTTGTTGTCATTAATCGAAAGTAACTAAAGGAGTTTTCACTTCAATAAATAAATAAACTTTATAAAAAATTGTTGATGTACCTGAGTGAAGTGCCCCGCCTTGTCAATATTCGAAGAACCATGTTGATTATAATCTTGTATTTCTTTGTACCACATATGAGTTAAGCTTTTCAGCCAAGCCATACTATTTTCAGAAGAAGCCATCCAAGCAATGTTTTCACCAGTGTCCATCGCTTCATATTCAATATAACAGAGATAATATAGATATAAATACAAAAACTTAAAACACAGTAATATTAGTAAATTTATTGGGTCATTTTGAAAATAATAGTACAATTAGAGGATTTAATAGAAGTTTGTTTATTATCTTTTAATTTCAATGGTATTTGTATCTGTAACTTTTTCTAATTTATAATCTTATCCATTTACCAGTTGTAAGATACTATTTGCTAATTGTAGTTTAGTCTGTATTTCCTTGCTACCTTTCTATACCAAACAATCAGAACTCAGCGACCTTCCTATGTTTTCACAACCTACAATTTAAAGATTCCATTCAATCCCGTCCCACTAGATCCCGTACTTCCGACCTCTATTCTCTTCCTCACCGAACTGTTGCCTTTAACAAATCCTTTATAATTCAAGCCGTCTCCTTCTGGAATACCATACCTCCCGATATCCGATATGCACAAACAGTTTCCTCATTTAAATCTCTCCTGCCCAAACCGATTAATCATGAAAAGTAGATAAGAGAACTTTTTAAGTTCCTCCAAAAATGATTTTATTTACTTTAAGTTATTTTATTTTCACATGTTTGTATTACATATATATATATGTGTGTGTGTGTGTGTGTATGTATATGTTTAGTGTTTTTGTTTTATTCTTCTTCCAATATTTTAATTTTAATGAGAATTGTAAATATTTGATTTAATACATGGCCACAGAGGCATTTTATCTGTATCTATAATTTGTCCTAAAGGGACAACAGACAATAAAAATCTATTTTCATTTCATTTCATTTATAGTTGAATCTAATATTTTTATGACATTATAGAGTTATTAGGTATTTCTGTTTTTTAATTAGAGCGAATACTGTACATCATATACACACAGGACATACCCAGTCCCAACAGTGACATACGCAGACCAGAGGTGCACATCCCCCCACTTCCCAAGATCGATGGCGCATGAACCTTCTGTTCACAAGATATTTATATACAATTATTACAACCTGTGCAGTATTTTCCATGTTTCCATTTGTCTTTTGATTTGAAACTTTTCATTTCGAAAATTCATAACCCCGTAGAAATGTGCCCCCTCAAAAATTCAAAACGTGCACCCCCTCAAAAATTTTTATGGCATCCAGGATGAAATGATGTTCTAAGGTATTATGGAGAGAAGTAAATTGGGCATTGGAGATGGATATGTTAGGAGGACAATATGCTGATGCAATGATGACAGGAAAGGAGAAGGTTTGATTACGATTGTGGTGGACTGTAGGAAATCGTGAGTAAGTAATGGGAGTAGGTGATGAGAGAGAAATTGGTGTACGATGACTGCAGTACCGGCATGTGCCCTACCGTCAGGATGGTCAGTACGTATGTTAAGTACTCCGGTATTTTTAGGAGCTGGTTTTTCATCAGTCGAGTTTCCCTTTTTAGGGCTACATCGATGTTCTTGGCTAGTAGTAAGGCTGATAGTTCGTCTATGTGATTTCTAACACTATTCGCATCCAAATGAGATTGGATATGGGTTTGACGGGATCCCATAACACGGAGATAACAATAAATAATAGCCTTACAACAGTTAATTGTAGTCGTTTTTGCTGAAAACACGGGACTTTTAGGAGACTGGATAGAAAATAATATAATTTCTTTACACAACTTGAGATGAATCTCAATTTTTTTCCGAGTAAACCTCAATTTAATTAATGTAGAATAAACCTTATTAAACATGGAAGTTTTTCTTAAAGTAAGGTAAATGTAGTACATTTGAAGTGTGATAAAAAAATATATCTGGTGTGTCCACTCACAAGACTTTTCTACCTATTTCAGAAAAGTTTTTATATCTTTAAATATATTCATGAATAAAAATAAAAAATAATTGAACTAGATACATTTCCCTGAAAATTGATCAAACATAAGATTTGAGTTTGATTCATTTGATAAACTGAAGCAATGTAAACCGGCTTAAGATAGGTCAGTGTAAAAATTTCAATACTTCCTAATATTGCTGATCAAAAACTTTTTGCCAGCTTAGTATTGTCAAACAATAATTTGTGTTAAAAGTAGAGGAAATAGTAAAGATTGTGTGATGCGGGCAACAGATTTTCTTACTTTCACATAGTCATTTTTATTCTCCCATTCACCCCTTTCTGACACTAGGATATAAAACCGTAATCTTACATTGGAAATTGAATAGCTGTAACTTCGGTAATAGTTGACCAAAATGAACGATTTTTATATGGCTTTGTGGGGAATTTCATTACCTTTCAAACGACAGGCATAGAACTTTTCCATGAATTTTTTTTTCGAGAATTTATTCTATATACGAAAATTGAAAGAACATTGATTAAAACATTATAGGAAAGTTTCATCAAAATCGTTAGAGCCGTTTTTGCGCAACAGTCTATAGAAAAACATGTTTTTCATTTATAGCGCGCAGGCTATTGCGCATGGAGCACCGAATTTCCGTCACAGGCATCAGTAGTCAAAACCCTACAAAATAAAAAAAGAAGCAACAAAATCGGTTCAATAGTTTCCGAGAAAATCTTGGCATAAACAGACAGACCAATGGCTAAAAATGTGTTTTTCGGACTTAGGGGGCTGTGAAACGTATAGATCCGTCGAAAACCGCATGTCGGAAATTTGACCCGTTTGCAATACTTTCATTACCTAGTATAGGTAGGAAAATAAAAATCATAAATGATTTATGACTTTTTTTTAAACGGAACTTAGTTTTGTTTGTCAGCTCAATAGACTTTTGACTAAATTTTGTCTAGTTTACTATGGAACAATGTTTAATTTCTTAAATAAAATATTTATTAAGTTATCGCTCCCTATTCAATAAAAAAAACGTGACTCGCATAAATTTTTTTTTTTTAATTTTCTACTTTTCTGCTGGAAATTGGGAAATTGTTTATATGAACTTTTTTGTAGATCTTGATGTCTAATATCGACCTTATAAATATTTCCATCTACTTCCGGGCGACCCTACACATATTATAAATAATTGTTGGTACTCTAGTTAGTACTCTAATGAGGACAAATTTTAGTTGTATTTATCTGTACCCAATGGTGCTATCATTCTAACAGTAACTAAGCTATTTGATAATTATAAAATACCAATATCCCTACACGGTCTTCTATTGACATCTTCAGAAACATACAATTTTTCAATCACCAAACATCACACTTCTCCGTTACCTCAGGAAATTTACCATACTTGCCAATCACTGAATTTCGAAAGTCCGTTAACAATTCCTAAGTTATTAGGGATAAAAACTCTTTGTTTCATGTGTTTTAAGTTAGACTTACGTCTTCGAGCGTTGTGTTCCAAAATGCATTTATTTGCATGATCCTGGGCCACTTCGGCTAATTCACTATCCCACTTCTGAAAATAAAAGTCGTGTTCGAATTAAATATATGCTTGTATTTTCTTCTTATGAATGATGGTTATAACTAATCATCCTCTAGTAACCAAAAAAAAAAACTCATTAATTTTTTGTAAACTCTATAATTATTTTAAATTGAAATTCTATATGCATTCTTCGTAAACCTATGATCTTATGTACAACAGTATCCTTTAATAATACTCCACTCATCCCTGTTAAACAAATCCGCATCCTATAACTCCACCTGGACTAATGTCTTTCTTCAGATCCTCATACAAGACTGAAAGGACAAAAATTGCGAGACGTTTTCGGCTACTTCAAAACTTACAATACCAACGACATAAACTACCTATCAACTATAAAAGACTCATTTACCTGCCTATAAGGCCTATTGCAACTTATGGAGTCGAGCTATGGGACTCCATTGAACCATCAAATTCCTCTCGTTTCCAACTCTTACAGTCTGAAATACTTCGCAAAATCCTCAATTCTCCTTACTTTGTCACAAATAAAATTATCCATAATTATCTTAATGTACCATAAGTTTTCGATTTAGCCCAATCCTTCCATAATCAAATTCAGACCCATCTCAATCTAATAGTTTCTAATCTGGCCATCCTTTTCGATTTCTAAAAACCCTTTCAGGCCTTTGAAAAGTAGATGGATTTGGTACCTTCTGATGTAGAAATATAATTTGAATGCTATCAATGGGTAGTTTCTCTTCAGGTGCGTACAAGTCATATTGCCTATTCACAATTAATTATTTTAGTTAATTTTTAGTTAATTGAAGTTAAAACGAAATATACTATAATAAATCTAAAATCCTACCCCAATATCAGCGTAGAAGGGAAATCGTTCCCGAAATTAGACAAATTCATATAGTTTTGATCCTTAATGACCTCAATGAATGACCAAATATCGGAAGAAAAATCTCAAGAAATCTCAAATTAAGTGTACAATGCCATGATAAAGGCAGTTCTCATATTTGGCTGCGAGATCTGAACCCTAAACAAAGGCCTAGAAATAAGTATTAAAAGATATAAAAGAAAACCCTCCACACAATTACCGAAGCAATTACTAATGGGTATCAGAATACTGAAATCGGAATACTAACACACGGAAGAAAAAGAACAATAAAGAGCTACTTACAGAAACTGGGCAATCAATATCTCATGATTTGAAGGCAAGGAGATTAAGATAGGCGGGGCATGTTGCTCGGGGCAATCCATCAGGTCATCACACTACTCAGGTGACCTCATCGAAAAATTTGATTTAAAAATCGATCCAGCCGTCCCCTTAAAAAATCATTACATGGCTTTTTAAACAAAACACATAAACCTCGTATCCCTTCGCTTAGTCGGGTAATGAAACATTAACTTCAATACATAAATGAATTAGAAAAATGAACTCACGAGAACCCACATGTCTCTTGCTTGTTCCAGTTTAGTTTTTCCCCCTGCCACCTGATCTCTACATTCGTTATGGTAATCAAGAATGAGATTTATATCTGCACAAGTCAACTTGGATTTCTTCTCTGAAATGGATTAAAGTAATAATAATTGGTAAATGTAAACATTTGGTAAATGTAAATTTTTTTTAATTTATAATACTTTTTTTAGTTTTTCAGTCACATTCCAACGACAGAACAAAACACCTGGAAGAAGTGGATTACCTGGGGATTATGGTGGCGAAGAAGTGGTAAAATATAAACACAACCTATTGATGGACGACTGGCAACAGGAGAAAATACCGTTGAATTGAGTGAGACTGAATTGAATTGAGTAATATGTCCTGTTTATAAAAATAGCGATGTCATAGAATACACTAATTATCGTGGCATTATAATGATTACAATGGAATACTACCTACCTTATGTCCAAGAGGTCAACCGATCATTTAAGTTTTATCAAAAGAAAATCTACAACAAACCAAATCTTCAAACTTAGGATAACACTGGAAAAATGTAGTGAATATAATAATAATAATAATAAAAGCTTAGCGAACCCGAAGGTTCGATGCCGACACCACCAAACGCTTATTAAACACCTCCCTCCACCGTTCGCCGTCCAAACCCAATCCCTTCAGATCGGCTTTAATGCAATCTTCCCACCTTCGCTTCGGTCTACCCCTCGGACGTTTACCATTCGGTACAGCAAACATTAACCTTTTAGGAATTCTCTCGTTACCAAGCCCAACAATTTTACAAGACCATTTGATTCGGCGTGTTGAAATTACCTCAATTATATTACCCGGATACAGTTCACTTAATTCGGCGTTGTGTAACCGTCCGTAACTCTCCGGTTAACTCATCCTTCTTCGGTCCGAATATTCTACGGAATACTTTATTTTCAAAAACATTAAGACGCTGTTCATCCCTTAATGTAAGTGGCAAAGTTTCACATCCATAAAGAACTGGTAATGAATATAAGGTAAGTATTTATCTTAATTTATTTTTGGGATGCGTATAATGGGAGAAGAACTCTACAGAGGACTATAGTAAAAGAGAATTCCTGTCAAGCTCATTCGCCTTATAAGGTTGACGATGATGAGGGTAAAATTAATGTTCCGTATTCAGGACCCGTATGACCTCACAGAGTTTTTGCAGCCATAAACGGCTTAGGTAAGGAGATATAGAATCCATGTTGGAGGGTCAATTTTCCGTAGATCTGCAATGTTCCTAGGGTATGTACAGAAGTAATAGGACGAACCTTTGAAACCATGAAAGATGTGTGAAGCTCCAACGGGAAACTGGAGGAATGAGATTCATTATTTATGAGGAAAAAACAAAGTACATAACTACAGCCCCTCTCCCGTGGCCATGGAGAACCATACATACATCTTGGGTCATATTTCTTAGAAAGAATGAAGGAATTTACTTATTTAGGATCGCAAGTCAATTCCAAGAATGACATTGGAGAGCAAATTCGGCGTCGGATTGTCTCCAAGAAGAGGTACTACCATTGATTAGTTGGGCATTTCAAGATCAGAATAGTATCCCGAGTCACTGAGATTTGCCTGTATAAAACATTGGTACTGATGCTTCGGAATGCTGAACTATTATCAGAAATCAGAAACACGCTCTGGTAAGATTTAAAAGGCGGGTTCTGAGGAGAATCTGGAGAAAAGGTGAAGTCTGGAGACAGCGGACTAATGCAACTTTATGGAGATGCTGCTGTGGTGACATTTATTAAAGTAAGATGGGCAGGACATGTTATCAGAATGGCTAATGATTAGTTCCCAAAAAAACATTCTCTTGGAAGAAATCTTAGGAAAAAGAAGAAGAGGAAGACCAAAGTTACGATGCATGGATAACGGAAGTTGCTGCAGATGCCCGATCCATACTTAGGATCCGGAACTGGAAGATGGCAGCGCGGAATAGGAATGACTGGGGTCAATGTTGCAAGAGGTCTTGTTTCCACGCGGGAAGTAGCGCCATATAAGAAGAAAAAAAATATTACTTATTAAGTTTGTTTAACCGGATTTCGTTCGTATTAGTTTTAAAACCTTCTGAATACAATTTATTTTTTGTAAAATATCTAAGAGATAAGATAAATAGAAATATAATTGAATAGCAATAGATTTTATAAGTATCTAATTTTGCGCCATATAAATTGAACCGTTCAAGTTCAACTTTTGATAATATTTATTAACATTTTAAAATTCAAACCCTTTGTTACGGCTAATGATACTTCAACGGCTAAATAATTCGTTTGTACACATTTCAAAGCCATTATAGAATTTTGAATTTCGGTCTATGTCGGATGTTTTGCCTGACACGTTACACTCTGCGCCATTTTGGAATGGTGAAAGGGTGCTGTATTAAATATTCCGATTAACAACTTTAATTTTATCATCGCCATGAGCACTGAAATAACCTATTCTTTTTACTTAATGTAAATAACATGAAACTTGTTTACATTACGTTTAATCAATGAAATCAAAAGCAATAAAAAATCAATTTTCTCTTAACATCTCGTCGAAACAATAGATCAAAGAATTTCGTATATTTTTAACATGACATCACAACTACTTACCGTTTAGTCTACATGATTGCTCAGATGGTCTGAAGATTCGTATTAGTAATAAAAGCTGGAATATTAAGTAAATCATTAAAGATATTCTTAATTCTTTTACTTATGAATCAATATTTGCTTATAAAGAATTATCATTATTAAATAATAGAACGCATATGTCATGGAGTCATATGCTAACAAATGTACACGGTAATGTCGAGATGACAGCTAGAACAACTGACACGATAAAAATCGAGAGAAAAAGTTTAGAAACTTAATATCAGTATTATATCAGTATTTACATAAGTTATTGATATAGAAAGTATTGGTGAGTGTATTTATAATAAATGTTAAGGTTTTCTTGTTGAAATAAAGATAGAATACCAGACGTCTCACAGTGGAACGAAACAAGGAAACGTTCCATTCTTTGGACGTGGGTTTTCACCCTCAAATATCTCCTAGTAATAATTTTAATTATGGTGCTTAATCTAATTTTCGGCAGTGAATCAAATGGTAAAGCACGTTTGGTTGCAGGAGGTACGTGAAAAAATTTTATATATTTTTTCTTATTCCTGTCATAAATTAAAACAATTTTAAATCAACCAAGTATATAAAAAATAAAAAAGAATGGTAAACTTGAAACGGCAATCCCCTGCAACTGCAGCATTTTCTGTTAAATAGATTCAAATAAAAACAAATCTGGTGTGCGCATCACGCAACTTAAAATTAAGTTCTCTAGTTTAATTAGAAATTATTTTCTGCCAAATTGGACTTTCACCAACAGTTTTTGAGTGAATTTTTAATGGAGCTAAATCCTAAAGGACTTGTTTGTGATTTTATGTATCGTCATATTTATCAGCACAAAATCTCGGTTGTTGATCAAGACCAATTACACAAACCGTATTTATTACATCGAACGTAGGTAATGAAAATCTAGTAATATCAGTCTGATTAAACCACGTAACTCCTTCTCTGAATTCTATATATTTGAAATTACATTCGAATATATAAGAAGAATTTACCATATAGTAAAAATTATAGGAACTAAATCTGTTTCACTGCACACTTTTTTATTTTTTCCCTTGTAAAATCTCATACCAGACTGAAATGACAAGAAAACGCACGACGTTTCCGATTACTTCATCACTTACTAGACAAACGCTCTATACTTCCAATTAATTACAAAAGGTTCATATACATGACTATAATAAGGCCTATTTGGACTTACGGAGTTGAGCTATGGGCCTCCACTAAATCATCGAATTCCTCTCGTATCCAATCCTTACAATCCAAAATCCTTCGTAAAATCCTCAATGCGCCCTACTTTGTTACAAATAAAACCATCCATAATGACCTTAATGTTTCTTATGTTTCAGATCTGGCCCAATCCAGATACCTATCTTTCCACAATAAACCTCAAAATCATTCCAATCCTCTTGTTTCTAATCTTGCTTCCTCTTCAATTCCTGATAACCCTCCGAGGCGTCTGAAAAGAAGATGGCTCCATGATCTTCTAATGTAGACTAGAGATGCTATATCAATCATCTGGACTCTATCATTAGAGTGCTCCCATTGGGTAGTTACTCAGCAAGTGTTTTCACGTCATTATATCCATATGTTCAAATTTACTAAACCTATTTCTTTAATACAGTTGAAAATATCATCAATTAAAAATAGTTTCAAGAGATCGCAACTTTTTAGAAACTACTTTCTACTAAAATCTTCAGATATTTTGCCAATAAAAGAAGATTTTACTGTATATATTCAGTTTTTTTAATTATCCGTTGCTGTTGTTTTTTAGTATAAATAAAAATTCATCGTACGATACAATTCAGTTTCCAATTAAAATAAAGTTAATAAAAGTGCCAGTTGTTTATTTACTTTTTTCAAGATCAAACTTACTTTTGCTTAAATTCCAGAGGGAGAGTAAGAATCCGCTAGTGGGCTCAAGATAACCTTCAACAACAGACTAAGAGACTATTCTGTACATCAACTGATTCCTTAAAAGATATTATAAAAACACGCCATTAATATGAAAAATGTGCATTTATTTTACAGTCTTATTTATACATTGCTATAAATATAAATTATGGTGATAATAGCGACATAATAAGAAAAAAAACAATAAGATCGACGTAGATTGTAACTTAATGCCAGAACATGGGACATATTTTCCATCAGCGTGCTCCTGATCGTGAGCTGTAAGAACAATAAAGTTCAATAAAATTTAAAAAATAATATAATTAAAAAATAAATTATGAAATTTAAAAATATCAATTAATTTGTATTAGAAGTTATTCTAAAATTGTTAGATCTTTAGTCAAGTTGTTAGTTAATAAAAAAAAAAAATCGCGACTAATCTAGGAATGGTTTTAACAAAGACAAAGGGAGTGGGATAGCTCAGCGGTAGGTTACTGAGCTTCCAATGCTAAAGGTCCCAGGTTCGAATCCCGGCTAATGGCAGAAAAATTATTTATTCTATTTCAGTGGGGAAAAACCTGGCGATTGAGCTTGGTCAAATCATCTCCTTGCACAACCATAGACCAAGAAACAGTGCTTTTCTTAAATAGTACTGAGCCCAAGACCCTTCATGGATTGTGGTGGAATAAAGGAAATTCGGTCTAATTTACTATGAATTAATTCATGATAACTAAATTAAATATATTTTTAGTTATTGCTTCCTGTTCAAGAATAAAATTATTCTAAAAAAACCTGAATTTCTTGATTTTTTACGGAAAATTGGTTCATGAATTATACAAACATTTTAGCTGAAAAAGCAGTATTTGCAAGGGAAGACATTCAGACCAATTAAGGACATAACTTATCGTTATTAATTAATAAATATATATGAAAAAAAATGAAATCCTAGAGTTGCTTAAATCATTTTTATTTAAACGTAAATATTAAAATTAGAAACATTCACTTGGTCATTAAATACAATAACCATCAATTGAATGATTAATAACTGATAAATTATGAGTCAAAGTCGCTTCAGCGTTACGACTCAAGATGATACATTTATGTAAAAGTATTAATTTTTAAAAAGAGGAAAAACGCGGCAGAAAACTTATCTGAGTGGAGGAAAATTGTTGAAGCCAAGGTTCTTCTTTCATGGGTCATATCGGCGAAGGAAAAAAATTAATAGTTGTTAATACTTATTTTTTAACAAATATATTTTTTTTATTAATTCACTCCTATACATACCAGATCATAGACAAAAATATACATTAAATTATCGCTATTATTTTTCCTAAAAAAACAAGTACATCTGGGTGATAGAATATCAAATCGATTTCCTGTACATAATTAGAGGTGAATTTACAGAAGCTGAATAATTGTAAAAGTGAAATAGGATATGCTTGGAATGGAGGAAGAGATAGAGAGGTGATAAACAGGTGGACCGAACACTTTCCGGACTGTTAAGTATGGCAACCACAACCGCTTGTTGATTAACCTGACAGAGAGAATATCGATTTTGCCATAATGGACTTGAAATCTACGGAGAGAACATGATAGTTTCGGGAATTGATTAAAGGATGCAGTGGTAAAATGGAGGCCCTAATATATGAGGTGATCTATGACATATGGAGAGAGAAAACATTTCGGATGATTGGAGAGTTAGGTTAATATGCCCTATTCTTAAAAGAGGCATTAAGGATCAGTGCGCAAATTATAGAGGAATAATTCTATTAGAAGTCCCATATAAACTCTTTTCTAGTTAAATCTTAAAATGGCTGCGAAAATATGCTGAGGAATTTTTGGAAGATAACCATTGTGGCTTTAGAGCTGAAAGGTCAAATTTTTGTTATAATACAAATGATGGTAAAATGCTATGAGTATGATATTGATCTGCACTTATTTTTAGTTGACTATTAGAAGGCATTTGATAGCATCAAGAGATTTAACTGTTAAAAATGATAACAAAAACGGATTGTCGCACAAATTAATTAATTTAATTCGCATGACCATGGAAAATGGAAAATTGGAAATAAAATAAGTCGATTGTTTAGAGTACAATTTGGAGTGTGTGAAGGAGATGCCTCATCAGCAACACTATTCAACATACCTTGGCATGCTGTTGATACCTTAGCATACGGAAGATGCTGCTAAAAAAGACACTATCTTTGGTAATAAATGGTAAATTTGTGCCTTTGATGATGACCTGATAATTGCTGTCAGAAGTAAAAAGCCACTTAAATAGACATTTTAAATGATATACGAAAATGATGAAAATATTGGGCTCGTGGTCAATGAAAGCAAAACTAAATACCTAAAACCGCTTTCGGCAGCAAGTAGAAGCTCCTGCAACGATATCAGAATAAGGAATTTCAGGTTTGGAGATGTATCCACATTTGTGCATCTGCCCAGAATAATGAAAATTTAATCAGCAAAGAAATCAACAACAGAAAAATGCTTGGTAATAGAGCCTAGTAGGCAAACCTTAAACTTCTCAAGTCTAAATTGTTGTCAAAAGCTACAAAAGATATATAAATCCCTTATTAGATTACCTATCCCTTATTAGATTACCTATGGGAGCGGAAACCTGGTATTTGTTGCAAGAGGGTTACCGTATTTGAAAGGAAAATAATATTAAGGATTTACGATGCTAAAAGAGTTAATGGTGAGTGGAAAATTAAGAGTAACAATGAAATCGAGAATCGAGGCTGTATTTGAGAAATAGAGAGAATCATTTTATTTTCATAGAAGGGCGCTGCCCAATCATATTACGTTGCTACAAACACAGCATACTAATTAATCATTATGGACAATTGTTTACAACTAATATACAAATATACAGTACAGCTTACAGAAACACACACATACATATATGTATTATTTTTATTTTATTTTTTATTTTTTTACTATATCAAGGCAAGTAAGTTGACATGGGCAGGAAATGTGGTCAGAAAGGAGAATGAACGGCTACAGAAGAAAATACTAGAAACGCACGTCTATAGGAAGAGGAAAAGAGGAAAGCCGAGAAGCAGGTGAAAAATCAAGTAGAGAAAGATACGAGGAAGCCAAGAATTCGAAACTGGGAGAGAGTAGCACAGGAGAGAGAAGTGGATAAGAACTCAGGAGGCCAAGGGTCATGCTGGCCTCAAGCAAGGGGAGTGAGGGGTGAAACTCAACTTAATTAATATAAACTTAAAGCTTATCAAAGAAGGAAGTTTTCCTAAAATTTGTGTAAATGTAGTCAAGTAGGAGAGTTATAAAAAAAAAAAATAATAATAAATAACCATCGATATCAGTAACCTTAAGGTGGGGCAACAGAAGCGCCAACTTAGTGGGCATCAGCTGATCTTAAGGGGGGCTAGCTACTAGTTAGAAATAACAAAAAAAATACAAAACGTATTAAAATAATTAATTTTAGCCTATCAATAAAGCAACTGTTTTAGAGAAATTATAAATGAAATAAAATTCAAATATTGCGTTATATAAAACAAATTAAGAAATAAATTCACTTTTTTAAGAATGGGAGAAGACGTCATTGCCAGGGAGCGCCGAACGTCTAAGCTTGGCACTGACTATTATTATGAAAAACAAAACAGCGTAGTTTTAGCACTTTGAAATTCTTCCTTAAAATAGTTCTGACAAAGACATACTCTGCTTGCATTTAAATTAAATTTCATCTGGTTTACTATGAAGAAATTTTGCTTCCTATTCACCAAAATAAATTTGACTTTCATGAAAAACACAAACTTTAAATTCCTTTAAAGTTTTTTTTTTTTTTTTTTTTTTGGTAGCTCTTATATCTACTATCACCTCTTGAAGTATTTCCCTTTACATTACCGGCCATCCTGTAAACTGCGAGGTATACATCACTTGGTTCAACTCCAAGGAAACAAGTAAACATTGTAGGTATACTTATATTTATAATTCCATTATGTTAAGGATACGTTGACCTCTTTGTTGGAGATTATTATTATTTCTTATTGTATTTATTTTAAAGAAAGAAGTGTCATTAACAGCACAGCACTTACCGCATAGGTGGGGGAAGACGGTAGATTGGACACCTCTGCTGCATCTTGTACCATCATACTTTTCATACGGAGGTGTTGGATAGTTGCCGCTTTGGGGGCATCACAAATTAAATAATTAATGACTGGACGTAATTTTAAAACAATAAAAATAATGTTGTAATAATAACAATTATCAACGGTACCTATCTCCCCGAGGGTCGAGCGCGCATAAACCTCCTCCCAAGATATTTTATTGCACTACTCTTCTTAAATACAGTGCAATTAAAGCAGAATTTAAAAATTATATATCATAAACAACTACACCTTAATGTGGTCTGTTATACGATTTCTCCCCCATCCCCTGGTTTGAAACTTTCCATTTCCAAAATTCATAACCTCATCAAAACGTGCTCCCTCAAAAACTCATAACTTTGTCAAAATGTGCTCCCATCCCAAAATTTTTGAACCCCGTTCTTGGCACCTCTGACAATTATTATCATACAATACTATTGTCATGAGAAAATGTCTCATGTATATTTTATCATACACTTTCTGTGAAACTTTGTACGAAAAATTTTCTTAAAATAAAAGTTCTAAGAAACAGTTTTGTATTAAAGTTGCAGTTTTATGATTAAAATTTAACTTTATATACATTGAAGTTCTTAAAAGAAGTTTCTTTAAATCAAAATTAACAGTAAATAGCTTAGATTATAGCTATAATTTGTCTTAAATGAATTACAGATGATTCTAATGAGTCGTTTGTTTCAGTTGCTATGAATAAGAGTCATTATTTAGATCGAATTTTCAGCGAAATCGACAGAATAATTTTACAGACAGTTTTTTAAAAATAAATGTACTGTAAACATTTACTTGAAAAGTTGCAAGAGAAAATATTAAAAAAATGTCTCGCTGGATACCAAACGTCCTCATCTCTACCTTGTGCCATCAAAGCTCACTCTTTTTTACTAAACTTTCACGTAGGGAGAAACTAAAACATCGCATCAAAGATACAGTCTTAATAACCGGGTGAGGAACGTTTCACTAATGACTCCTCATCCATCAACAGATGGCATGGCATACTGAGGAGGGCATATTTTGACGGGATTATCAATATTTGGACGCAGACTATTGTGTGGTTTCAATTTAAAGGATCTTTCAAACCAGAAAACAAGGGGGAAACATGGAACACGTCACAAACATAAATAAAATAAAATTCTACTTTCGCTTACAATGTTTTGAAAAAGAAGAGAGTAATGACATTTATCGGAAGAGGGAGGTGCGTCATCGACCTACGGAAGAATGGACACTCCTGCTCATTAAGATAACAAGCACTGAAAATTATATTTACGATATGCTATTTTGTATATCCTTATATCTCAATCGGCCGTAGTGCCTAATAGAAAAGAGAAGAGATGAAAACAAAATCACTCTCATATATATACACTGACAGGCAAAAAATTCCACCCACTTGATTTTTTAATTTTTTGATCTAAAAATATTTCACCCACTTGTAAAAAGTTGTATTTGTATATAATACATGGTATTTGTAGATAATACTTAGTAGTTATGGAATTTTATAATCTTTTTTACCTTTAATAATCAAAATTTGATTGGGTAAGAAAGATTAGAGAAAAAAAAATTGAAAAACGAACCATTATTATTTTAAAAGAAATTAATTACATCATCGTTTAGTAGCGCGTGTTTGCTCCTCTTGCCTTCAATACTTCTTGAAGACGCCCGGCATACTTCCCACCAGACGGGAAATGTCCCTTTGCTGGAGGATAGTCCATTCCTCCCGAAGCGCCCTTTCAAGCTCTTATTCGTCTTCCGAGGTTATCCCATAAATGCTCAATGGGGTTCAAATGTGAAGAACGTGCTGGCCAGGCTAAAACCTCAATATTGTTCTGTTGAAGGAACATCTGCACTATGCGGGCGACATTTGGCCGTGCATTATCGTGTATTAGAAAAGAACGATCGCCGATTTCGTTGAGCATAGGCAACACATGAGGTTCCAAAATCTCATCTACATAGCGAATGGCCGTCAAAGACCCTCCACAATCAACAACTAATTCTGTGCGGCGCTCCATTGAAATCCCAGCCCACACCAATAAGAAACCACGTTGGAAAGGTTGGCTCTGGGAAAAATTACAGGCTGCATATCTTTCATTTCTTCTTCTCCACAGTCTTTTACGCCCGGCTGGAGATCGAAGAGCGAATTTTGACTCATCTGTAAAAAGTACAGCATATATTCGTCCATAGTCCAATGGCTGTTCTCGAGCAAAAGCCAGCCGTGTTACTCTGTGAGTTCTGGTCAACTCTGGTCCTCTTACTGGACGAAAAGCCATTAATCCATACTCATTTAATCTTCTCTGAGCGGTACGTTCAGAAATTTGCACACCTCGAAATTCTTCGAGCTGATGAATCGCTTGAACAACGGTAAGGTGCCGGTTTCGTAAAATTCTCAAAGTCAAAAACCGGTCATCCCGTGGTACTGTTACCCTAGGCCGTCCAGAATCAGTTGTAGGCCTTCTATTGTAAGAATCAGTTTCCCGAAAACGCCTGACGGCGTCTCGTAAAGTTTCATATGGAACTCCGATGGCATTAGCTGCATATCTAATAGAAAGTCCATCATCAATAAGTGACACACCATGCGCCTCCACACCATCCTCAGCACTAAGAGGCATTTTTAAACTTAATATTGGAAAAATTAAAAGCCTAAGAAATGTGCTGCAAGAAACGGCATTGAAGTAATGATACTGAATAAACATTTTGATTCCATAGAAAGTAAACATTGGAATCTAGAATCATTTCATTGAATTAAGGATTAAGGGTTATTGTCCTCTATATTAACATTCCTAATTGAAAACAAACAAATAGATTACTTATTTATTCATTAAAAACAATAGACCAATCCAAAGCAGAAATATTTTTAGATGAAATCAAGTGAGTGGAATGTTTTGCCTGTCAGTGTATATATATTTGTAGAGAGAGAGAGAGAGAAAGAAGGGGGAGATTGTTAACTATTTAGAATAGCATAATGTAACCTAATATATAAAAAATAGACAATACAGATTTTTACTCTTACGGTGGTTTGTAGTTGCAGACTAACAAGGTCTGATACGGTGAGTTTGGGTGTTTACCGTCTTCATAAAAACTAACTCCACAGCCGACGAATTTTGTATCTGCCCAAATCATCTGCGAAATTCATTTTTAAAATATCAAATAGATTATTTATTGGATTTTTTTTTCCAAACTATAAGATTCCATTAATCGATACTGGGCCCTTTTTTTTTTAATTCCGAATTATCAAATATACAATCTGCAAATGCGGTACTTTTTCACATTTTAGTATTTGCTAATAAACAAAACTCATGTATATCAAGCCCGTATATGTTGAGGAATTACTGAATTTCCGAAAACGGCTTCTTCCAAAGATTTTAGTCTCATAAGAAAATTTTAAGACCTTTTAATGTAGATATTTTTTAGGAAATGAAAACGGTGAGGAAGCTATACTGACCTTACTTGGCAGACGTTTTTTAAATTACATAAATAAGATAGTGACGTAATTTTAGGTACCTAACAAATATCAGTTTTAAATTAACGATACTTTTGCGTACTAAATATATTCCATTGCTCATCTAAATACTATTCATTTAAAAAAAATCTTTCCATTATTAAGATTGTTCAATGCCAACGAGGTATCGATACCTAATATAATTTTTAATGAGAAATATACTTCTAAGTATTAACTTTATTTTTATTGCTCATTTAAGTATTATTTAAATATTTAAAATATTGAGTAATTATTGCAGTTTTTTGGATAATATTAAAAAATCACAATGAAAATATTGGATATATATCATATGAAAAAATAAATCGTATATTATAATTAAATATGATTTTTCATATTTTGTTACATACTTGGTTGGTACCGATATTTTTGTTCTGTTATTTGTAAGAAATAGAACTTTAGTTGGTATCGTACATTTCTAATAATCAGATTATTAACAAAAAATAGTAATAATAATAATAATAATAATAAATAAAGTAATAAATAGAGTACACTAAAGAATCGATATTTTAGTACTAATGTTTTTATTTATACTTGGTTGGTATCGATAGTTTTGTTTGATTAGCTAGTTTCAATACTTCATAAAGTTTTTAATCCGATGAAATATCTGAAGAAAATTTTGAATTACAGATCCTGTTTTATTAGAAAAAGAATCTATCAAATGTAAAACTACATATAATTTAATTCAGTTATTTAAACAGATTATTTAATGAACGATTGTAAATAAAGCAGTCCAAAGTCTTTCGAATGGTTATACTCCGTTCTATGTAACCAGCATAACACTACACCATGACCTTAATTAAGATCACACAATCTCTACACCCATCCATACAATCCTCCTCGAAGTTTGTGGCCCAGAAATCTATTGTAAGCATATATTGAAGTTCTGGCAATGGCCATCCATGTATATCTGGTTATAGCGCCTCTGCTTAGCCTCCTGCGGCGTGTGAGAGGCGCTGGGATCCCCTTGAATCCTGCCTTTCCTTCTCCAAATGGAGGGAAAGGCTTGGCTCGGAGATCTTGAATGATTGATTTTTGTAAATATTGTATAAAATCATATGTAGTTAAATTAAAGTAATTATTTTGATTAGTTTAATTTCTTTTTGGTTTATATATATTTCCTTTTAGTATTATTATTTTGCCGTTTATTTATTGGACATAGAGTGTGAATCACTAGCTTTAGGATTCAGGATTTAATTTTTTTTGGGGGGAGGGCTTCAGCCCGAAACATTTTTTTTCATCTACATATACAATAAAAAAAAAAAAAGGAACTTAACCACCTATATGAAATGATATTTAAGTGATTCTTAAAGTCCTATTGAATGTAATTACACGAACAAGAATACTTTAAGAGATAGTTTTTAATATTTTTGTCTGTAAAACATGGTTATATTTTACCATTTTGGTGGGAGGAGGGGCTTCAGCCCGAAAGCTCCCCGTAGATCCGGCTGTGGTGTAAATGAACTCCCCATCTACCACTATTACCAATAGCGGATCCAGGATTTAATTTTGGGGGCTTCAACCAGAAACCTTTTTTTTCCATAAAAATAACGATAATTACTTTTGAAAAAAAGAAAGAAACTGACTTCCCATATGAAATGGTGTTTAAGTTATTCCTAAAGTCCTTTTAAATGTAATTACACCAACAATAATACATTAAGAGATAATTTTTTAATATTTCTTTCCATAAAATTGGCTATATTTTAACATTTTGGGGGGGGCTTCAGCCCCAAAGCCCTTCCCTCTCTCCCGTAGATCCGCCCCTGGCTATTACTACTGTCCTTAGATTTGACAGATTGATATTTTTCAATAAAGATTTGGAAAAAATAAAATAAAAAACTGTTATTGAGAATTTACAACGTATCATAAGTTTTAAAATGAATAAAAACAACACTTAAAAAAACATGTCTAAATATAATTAAAGAATACGATGCACTACAGAGTAAAACTTCATAACTCACAGCTTAATGTTCTAATGAAGCCTTCTTTCTTCAAGTTCACCACCATATTTAAACAACACGGCGGTTCTTTAAAACAGGCAGATTTCGAAACGGATTTAAACAATACAATAATTTAATATGTAAGAAACTGAAATTAATGAATCCTGTTACATTTATAACATTGCTAACACATTTAAAATAAAATATAGCGGTATACACCGAACAGCGCCAAATCTAAACTAAATTAATATGGAGACCAAAGTAGTGCACTGTTGAACTGTTACAAATGCCAACTTGATTAGAAGAATACTGCAATCTGATTGGCCGAGAGTTAGCGCCAATTATGGCCTAGACACAAATATTCAACTGCAAATATTCAAGTTGATACAGGGTATAACGATGGTCAGATTCAAAAGTTTTAACAGGTATTTTATTATTATTATTACTGTATATTATTATTTAAATATTTTAGATATTATATAAAATGTATATCTCCTAATTGGTTTAGATATAATTAAATTTAACTTTTCAATATTTTATTGAAATTATATGATCTATTTGTAATTTGTGATGAAAATAGGCAATATTAGAATTAAATGTATTTTACTTGATTCTCTTATTTTGTATCTTTATCTGCAATGTTAAATATTTCTTATGTAAATAGTTGGTTTAATATTATAATATAAAGAATTATAAAAGAATAATTAAATCTTTAATGCAGTGATATGACTATTTTTTAATACGATATCATTATTTATATTTTTAAATACATATTAAATTAATTTCAATAATTCCAACAAAATCAAATCTTAAATTAAATTGAAGTTGTTTTTTGAGTTTTGGTGTGTATCCAATAAGGAGATTCCCCCCTTATATATATATATATATATATATATATATATATATATATTTATAATTTATAGATAGTTTGCTAATTTATGGTAGTAGTTGTCTAATTGAAATTATATATTTTTTTATTCACAATTTCTTTGGCTTTCCTTCTTTCCTCATTTTGTTAAAAAAAACTTTTTAGTTATTTCCATCTGGAAATTTGATTCTTCTTCATGAATTAGCTTCTTACAGCTAACATTCTGTACTTATGACTTATCTTAGACAAAAATTAACTTTATAAAATTTTGTTGATGTACCTGAGTAAAGTGTCCTGTCTCAGTGATATTTAATGGACCTGCTGGATCATAAAGGTTTATTTCCTCGTACCAGAGGTGAGTCATGTATTTCAGATCACCCCTTTTTTTTTTACTATTGCGCTTCCAAGCAAGGTTTTCTCCTGTGCCTTTGGCTTCATTTATTATGTAATAGAGATAAAAGCTATAATACAAAAATTTAACCTGGTAAAATTGTTAACACTATTAATAAGATATACCAATTGCCATGACAATTTTACAGCAATATTTCATGATTGATATCTAAAGAAAGATTATGAAAGAGTAGAGAGTTTGAAAAATAGAGATATATCGATATTTTAATGTACAGAGATCTGCAAAAGTTGTATACAGATAGATTGAGAGTAAAAAAAAAAAAAAATCAATAAAACTCTGTTTTCCTACATATATTTATTATTTAAACATATTAATTTTCCCAAAAATATTTGCTTAACAATAAATACACGAATCTTAACGTTTAAGCGTAACAAAAGAATTTTAAAGCAGTAAAAGGTTTCATACATAGTCATACTATTTAATCATTTATTTTAGTGACCATTTTTAAATTAATAGTTTATTGACCTTATATTTTCATTTCTGAACTGTGAACCCATAAATGTTGGATGGAATTTAAATCTGGAATCTAACGAGTTACATGTTCATCTCGATAATAATATTGTAGGCATCTCGTGTGTAAAATGTTAATAATGGTTACGGTTTCTTTATGAAACAAACACAGACAATAGAGAAACGTTTATTGTGGAAGAACACTACAAACATAGAAGCAATATCGAGGGAGTATATATTGTTGTGATCACTGACGTCAGATATGACAGTGTTGCCAGTAACAGTGTTGTAGTAATATACAATAACAAATAACATCAATTAATTAATTTTAACATAAAAATCTTCAGGCTAAGTGTTAAATCCTGGTAAACTTTTATTGTTCCTTCCACGGGTGGATCTACGGGGTAGGGAGAAGGGGGAGGGAGAGGGGAGGGGGCTTTCAGGCTGAAGCCCCCCCCCTCCCAAAATGGTAAAATATAACCATGTTTAATAGAAAAATATATTTAAAAATTATCTCTTAAAGTATTATTGTTAGTGAAATTACATTTAAAAGGACTTAAGGAATCACTTAAACACCATTTCATATAAATAGTTAGTTTCTTTTTTTTTCTCCAAAGTAATTATCGTCATTTTCATGAAAAAAAAACATTCGGCCTGAAGCTCCTCCACCCAAAATTAAATCCTGGATCCTGGATGGTTCCTTCTATACCCACTTTTGCCGTTTCCACTCCTTAATCTGTTTTCTTTTAAATTTATACTTCTCGATCACTCCATAGATTAAACCAAATTACTCAACGTGTAAATAATACTTTACCTCACAACAAAAGTAACGTCTTCACCTTTCATTGTAGAAGACTATTTTTTCAGCTCAAATTACTATGTAACTTTCCTTCGTATTATCTATAATAAATTAAATTTGTTCCCATCTAAATATATTACATCATTCCAGTAAACTTCAGTTTTTTTTCATAAACTCTTTGGTAAAATCTAACCCATTTTTCTTATTCATTAACTTTATGAGAAGCATTTTTTTTAATCACTCTGGCTTTAAATCTGTACTGTTTTAATATTGTCTGAATTGTATCTTGTCCAACTTGTTTTCCTAATTATTCTCATTTATTACTGGTGTTATTTTCGTAGAATTAAGGTTAATGCGTTAAAATGCGTAGAGAATGAGCAATCAAATTTTACAGGATAGTAACCCTTAGCCCAAAGATCTCCATAAATGGTATCAGCTGATATATTACCATTCAAATGAACAGAAAACTCTTCTTTAAAGTCATGATCTAAAACCACCCAACATTTATATTAACCCATAAATAGTTCACAGTTCAGAAATGAAAATATAAGTTCAGTAAAATAATTTAAAACTAAATTGTTAGAACTTTGGAGGAAAATACCCTCTAGATTGACCACATCAATAATATGTGTTCAATTGCTTTTAAAACGATATTTTTTGTTTATGTGCCTTAAGTTAGACTTACGTCTTCCTTTGTTGTGTGTGAAAAGGCATTTATTTGCATATGCCTGGGCCACTTTGGCTAATTCATCATCCCATTTCTGGAAAAAAAATGAACAATAAATCCAATGTTGACAAGGTTTCGCGTTTAGATAAAACTGTTTACTTATTCCTAAGCGAAAAAAGAGACCTAGATTAAGTAAGTAATAAAGGCTATGCGAACCCGAACGTTCGACACTGATACTACCAATCGCTATCTACAAATTTCCATCCATTGACCGTTTTCAGAACCCAACCCCGCTAAATCATCCAGAACCCGATCCTTGTACTTTCGCTACGGTCTACCATTCAGATGTCCACCAGTTGTAACATCGCACAGTGACCGTTCAGGGATTCTTTCGTTACCAAACCCAACAATATTTTAATTTTACACGCTCGTTGTAATCGTTCCAATTATATTTATCGGATACAATTCACGCAATTTGGCGTTGAGGAACCGTCTAAATTTTCCGATTGACTAGTCCTTCTTCGGTCACAATACTTGCAAAGAAAATGAAGGTTTTTCAAAAACCTTAAGACGTTGCCCATTCCTTAAAGTGGCTGGCCAAGTTTTGCTTCCGTAAAGAACAGCAGGAAGAATAATAGTTTCGTAAATCTTATTTATTTTACTCTACCGGCTTTCATCAACGTTTTTGTATTCATTTTTATAGTTTCCCCGTCTTCAATTAATAGTAGCCAATCATCAGCAAATCGGAGCCTCGATATTGTTCCGTCCAGATTCAAATATTTTTTAAAATATTAGATTTAATTATAATTTTGTTTTCTGTATTCCAATGTAAATTTCAATAAATAATTTTTGACTTCTTGCTCAACACTTAAGAATAATGTTTCTGTTATATGAGTTTTACATGTCTATTATTTTACTGTTATAATTTATCTTGCATACAAGTAGTAAACATACCGAGTTTAATCTTTATTTAATAGTTTGGTTATTTTATTATTTAGTAATTGTTTTACGCGGCTAATGAAACTGTACATTTTCATTATTATTTGGTAAATAAGTGTCCTAAAATAAAATTTACTATCTTTATTTAATTAAAAAAAAAATAAGAAACGTTCCTACCCGATTCATAAATGTTTTGAAACAGTTCATGAGTCCTGGGTTGGTTTTGTTTCCGAGATCGTCAGAAAATTTATGTCTTTTTAGACTTTGTGTATTGCGCGGGTTTGAAGACGCTGTTAGGATTGGTAAAGCATTTCAATTAATTTATCTTTGAGGTACTTTTGAGATAAAACATTAACTTCAATATGTAAACGGACGAAAAAAAGGAACTTACAAGAACCCATATGTCTTTTCCTGGATCTAGTTTACTTTTTCCCGCAGCAATCACTTCTCTACATTCGTTGTGCTCATTAAGTATCTCCTTGATAAGATCACAATTCAACTTGGATTCTTCCTCTGGAACGGATTAATGTAATAATTGATTAATGTAAGCATGCAGCACCATTTCTTCCCTAGTAAAAATGATTTATTATTGTTAGTATTTACTAATATATTTACGTTATTATGAAATTCCAGATACAGTTTATCGAATGCAGATGATATAGTTGCACTTAAAAGCAACCGAGAGGACATTGAAGACTCACTAACTGTCTTCAAGTCTTCAAGGTCAGAAATATACCAGCGTATAACATGCACAAGCAGAGCTTTCTTCTCGAAGGTATTAAAATCCTATAATATATCAAGAAGTCTCAAATTTAAGGTGTGCAATACTATGATAAAGGCAGTTCTGATATTTGGCTGCGAGACCTGGCCACTATTCCCAACACAAGTGTTTCTCGGCATGTTATTAGCCAGTTATCTTATCAAGAGTAACAAAGGAAGCAGAAAACATTTGTTAAAGTAATTTATTAAGTGTTATTAAATTAATGGTTTAACCAGTGAATTTTTGTATTGAATATTTTAAATTTTGTTTTGTTGTTTTAAATCGGTTTACAATTTAAAGCATAAATTGTAAAGGTGGGAGTGCGTAGAGTTAATGCTTGTTATGTGGCAGCACTGCTGAGCTATTGTAAACAAAGCAGGTTGGTTTAGGAGAGGTTACACACAGACAGTAGCTGTCCTTTGTTCCTCATTGTGTCATGTTTATGTAAAATAATAAAGGTGTTTAGGTGTGTGTAGATGGTATAAAATTTTTTAACACAGCCTCATTTGTTTCCTGAATCGATTTCCTAACATTACAGTAGTAATAACCAAACGAACGGGAGTACGAGGCATCACAGAGCTAATTGAATTTTATAGGGCTTGACACGGTGATTTATTTTTTAGCTTACTCCCAAGTGAATTTCTTTGAAAAAAAAAAATATATTTAACAATTACCATCCTACTTCATACTGCTTTAGCCCCATATCTTATAGTGTATATAGAGCTTAAGAAAAATATTAAGTAATTGTTCTTTAGAGGAGACAAAACTTATTGTAATAATTATAACAAATTGACATATCTCATACACTTTTTGGCTTCCTCGAGTGTTTACCGCCAAACAGAGGTGCCAAGAATATGATTTCATGGTACCATCAAAATTTTTGAGGTGGGAACATTCTGACTGGGTTTTGAATTCTTGAGGAGGCACATACATTTCGATGGCGCTATTGATTTTTGGAATGAAGAGTTTCAAACGAGGAGACAAAGGGAAACATATAACGATCCGCATGAAGTGTAATTGTATGGTTTACGGTACTTTTAATTTGACTGTTAATTGGAGGTACATCCGCCATCGATATAGGAGAGAAGAAGGAATAGGTTTTCCTGCTGTACGACTCATTCGTCATCAAATCGCTGTAACCACTTTTCTTGTGTTGGTATCGCTGTCTCCATAAACTAAGCTATACAGGAGAGTGTCTTTGGCAAGTTTCTAAACTCAGCACTGAACTCATCGATGACCTCACAGTTTAGTGACGTACCCGATGCCATCAATGAGTTCAGCGCTGAGTTTAAAAACTTGTCATTTCCATTTCCTTTTATCTGTTTAATAGAGAGAAACAGTTTACTGCATCTCTATGAAAGAATTATTAAAATCGATGGTGATACTTACGATGTGGCATTGAAGTGGGGATAGAACGCTAATTCTGAATGATAGTTAATGGTGAATTATCCGCCCCTCTCCACCTTGCAAGGAATTCTTATCAACTGTGTTGCCCCCACTACTCTTCCCCTTTCCACTACTTTTGGGAATTCCCGTGACTTCCCACCATCTTGCGCTTCCTGTCTGCCATCAATTTTGCAAATTACGTACATGAAACTGGAATTTAAAAAATTATGAGGAAAGATGAAGAGTACAAGGGGTTAATAGCCGATAAGAAGTTCCCAGCCACGAAAGGCGGATAACCTAACCTAACTACTAGCGAATCCAGGATTTAATTTTGGGGGGCCTCAGCCCGAAAGCTTTTTTTTCATAAAAATAACGATAATTACTTTGGAAAAAAAGAAAGAAACTAACTACCTGTATGAAATGGTGTTTAAGTGATTCCTAAAACCCTTTTAATATTAATCACACGAACAATAATACTTTAAGAGATACTTTTTTTTATTTTAGATAAAACATGGTTATATTTTACCATTTTGGAGGAGCTTCAGCCCGAAAGCCCTCCCCGTAGATCCGCCCGTGAACCTAACCATAAACTAATCATTCAGAATTAGCGTTTATGCCCACTGAAAAACCGTGCGGACATCATCGAATGCATTAACAAATCTATTTCTTCTTATCAATGAATTAAGTTTATCGAAGAACTTTCTATATCTAAAATATGATACCACCCAACACATAACAATTACTTACTATATAATGTACATCCTTGTTCAGATGGTCTAAAGATATGTATTATGAACAAAAGCTGGAATGTTACAGAAATCATTAAAAAGATTCTTAATTCCTCTGCTTAATCGTGAATCAATATTGTGATACAATATTATCAGTAAATAATAGATCACATATGTATTGGAGTCATATGCTACCAGTGTCGGCCTTAATACATTTGGCGCCTCCCGGTAATAACGTTATCGTTCCCAAAAAATTAAATTTATTTCTTAATGTATTTCATTCAATATGTCTCTAATTTAGTTGCTTTATTAATATTTATTTATTCCTCCTTCTCTTGCCTTTCGGATACAAAGATTTTGCAGTGATTACATATCAATGCTTTAAACAATAAAATTGTTTAACATTTCATAAAACTCTTCCATGTAGAAAATATTTTCCATCAGTCTGGCGGCCTTCTAGAAATGGATCCTCTTCTTCCCAGATTGAAGTGTGTCACAGCAAGTATAGCTTTCCATTCGAAAACTAGCGGATCCAGGATTTAATTTTGGGAAGGGCTTCAGCCCGGAAGCTTTTTTTTTTCATTAAAATAACGATAATTACTTTGGAAAAACAGAAAGAAACTACCTATATGAAATGGTGTTTAAGTGATTCCATAAGTCCTTTTAAATGTAATTACACGAACAATAATACTTTAAGAGGTATTTTTTAAAAAAAAATTTCCATAAAACATTGTTATGTTTTACCATTTTGGGGGGGGGGGGGCTTCAGCACGAAAGCCCTCCCCTCCCCCCGTAGATCCGCCCGTGCATTCGAACAAAAAATGTTTTTAACACGTGTAGTTCTGCTCCACCATTAGTTGAGGAAACAAATTATTCGTGAGGGCATGGAGTCCGAGTTTCCTCAGTATTCTGGCCTTCAGTCCATCAAAGGACGTGCAGTTGAAAAGACGTGCTCAGCACCTCCGGGATTCCGCACCTGGTGATAGCTTTAATAATGGACAAAAATGAATTATTCTTATACAATTTGTATTTTTTTTTTTTAATTCGCCAAGCAGCGGATATCCCGGGTCAATTATGGAGTATGGCCGCTAAATGAAGATGTCGAGTCTGAAGGAGAACTTACCACATTGAAAAAGAACCTCCAATTAGATTCGAAGAATAATCTCTCTAGTTCTAGCTATTATCTTTGAGAGGTATACAATAAACAAATTCTTCGTTATTCGAAAAACCAACTAACTAGATCATTATTTATTCTAATTGCCTTTAAACACTAGTACTCACCACGGGTTGTAATATACCACACTTCCTGAACCCTAAAATTTAAGTTATTAGCTAATTATAGCGTTTGAATGAAATCTGGACAAAACAGCTTATAGAATCAAGCCGAAACTTGCATCAAAATGAGGTTTTCTAAATAATTAAAGTATAGTATAGTACATTTTTTGTTGTTTATGATAAAGTTATTGTAATTATGATTACAGTTATAGTAGTTATAACAATATCATAATCAGGTTTCCAATAATGATTGTAATGATTTCACGTTTTTGCAAGATTTAAGTTTTGATTAAGATTGTAAGATTTAGGGGCAGTTAATTTATAGGTGGTTTTTATTTTTTAACTTGTTTATTTAAAAATTTTGAAAAACTAATAACTAATAATCGGGATACACTTTTTGTTAGCACTATATAAATAAAATTACATATGTAAATTGAATGAAAATAAGCAATAAGGGACCAACCAACACTTTTATGGAATTTGTATAAGCTAGGTATTTAAATAAAAACTCAAGCCTTATCGAAAAGTAATTAATTTAAATTAAATGAAAATTCAAAAGAAATTATCAACACAGTTAATAAAATGCAATTTCAAATAAATATAAGTTGGTTCGTTAATACATATTTTGGTTTAATTATCTGCCTGTCTGTTACTTTATTTTATAAGAAAAATGGCAGAACTGACTTCCACAAAACATTTCTTCTATTGTTACATACAGCTTTACCTCCTTATTTAAACTCAGTGAGTTTAAATTTATATTTATTCCATATGAAAAGTGTCATTGAAAATAAAAGGAAAATTTTAGTTAACTTTTATAATAATCTTAGACAGGAAGAATAATTAAAAGTTGTTACCTGGACAAACATTTAGACCGATTATTCAAATTTAAATGGATTTTATAAGTCCTAACATTCATTCCATTAGCCACACAGTTTTTTGGAGAACCTGTTGTTCTAGTCAATTTTATTTGGCAGTAATTGTTCAATAGAATTCTTTAGCATGTTACATAAAATAAATTATAACTTATTCAAGTCACAACTTCTATATTAAAAATATGCTGAATCAACCTATTCAAAATTGGAGCTTTCCAACTAAATCAAATTAAGATAAAATTTTAAGGTGAATAGGTCCCCACTTCATACCTGCTAACAAAAACTTTTAATAGGAATAAAATGATTTTCATACTCTTGAAGTCCTGTTAAAAAAATAGAAAAAAATGTAATTACATAAACAATAATACTTTTGGAGGGAGGTTGGGACTTTTTTAAAAGATCTATTTAAAACAATTTCTATTAAACATTTTAGAAAAAAAGTTTTATTTTAAGTTTCCATAAAACTTTTTAGGAAAGAAGTTATTAAAACAAAGGTTTCTAAGCAAACTTGTTTGTAATAAAATTCAATGTTTATAGTAAAAGTTTAACTGTTATTTATTTAAGCTCTTAAAAAAGTTCCATTAAATGTAAAACAAACATTCATTGGGCTTAGATTATAGTTGTAATTTGTTTTAAATGAATTACACATGATTCTAATATGTCTCTATTTTTAGTAGCTATGAATGAAAGTCATTTACTAGATAATTTTTTAACGAAATCAATAGAAGTTTTAAATAAAAGTTCTGAAAAATCTTTACTTGAAAAGTTACAAGGGAAAAAGTTCTAATAACAAAGGAAGTGGTAAACTATGGACAATAAAAGTTTCCGTAATACCAAAACTTTTTAAAAATAAAAGTTTTTTTTTATATTTCAACACCCTGCTTTTATACATAATTAGATAATTTAAATATTGTGATTGTTTAAGTATTTAGCTTAGGTCATTTATTGTAACAAGTGGAAAAAAAATCATTTTTCATTTTGGGAGGTTTCAACTCGAAAGCTGTCCCATACATCTGCTTGTGATATAAATTAATATGTTTTACTCTTTTTTTTTTAATTTGAGCATAAGTAGTTCTGTCCTATGAAGGTCTGAAGTGTTTGGAATAGAAATTTGTCCAGTGCGATCAGCTAATTTTGTAGGTTCTCCTCTCTACTCTTCTACAATAAAAGTGAACAGTTTAACATAACTAATAACAAAATTTAATAAACTTATTTTATTGAATGAATCAAAAACAAATACTGCTTACAGACCTGCCTTGTAATTAATTCATTATAACTTTGTATGGAAGGTCCTCTAGAAAGATACGATGTTCTTTCCCCACAAATGGGTAATACTCTGGAAAGGGTGCTCTGTGTTCTTATCTTCCTATTCCAGAGGTTCTTTCATGGTGGGGATGGATTTTTTCAACTACTGCCAGTGACAGTTGCCTTCGGTACCGTTTTAGATTTTAAGAGGAATAGTAAGTTTTCAAATTAGCCATCTAGTTGTTTTGTAAATGTTTAAAAAAAAATATTTAAATTTTTTAAATGAAGTCTACACTCATAGACGAATTATTTTCATAAAATTAATATAGATGAAACCAATACCTAAAATGTTAAGATACAGCAAGAGTAGAGGTTGTACTCATTACTCCTCTCCTCCCCCAAACTAATACTAGTTAATTAAAATACCCAAAATGAACAGAAGGAATGACCGTCTAACAAAGAAAGTGGACACAGCAGATCATCAACAGCAACATTTTACTTCATCCCTTTAAAAATGGAGAATAAAATGTATCATATATTGTGGCGGACCCAAGGAATGAATCTCTAACTTTCCGATCTGGTTATAATAGGTTTGGTTTTACCTCTAGATCAAGCCTAGCTCTTCTCCATATGGCAAAATGGGAGAGATAGGGCTATTGATAATTTAAAAAAATTTATCTAATCATTTCCTCCAAAATAAGTTAACATTTTATTCTATGTAATTTCATAAGTTATTATATGATAGGACCAAGCTCAAATTGAAAAATTCCAAAATGATCTCTCAACATATCTCCAGTCTAGTCATGAAAACAGTGAATCTCCCCGTACTGTTCAAGAAAAATATGATCTCATTTCAAAAGTCATTGATGATAGTAGCAGATTAGGTACCGGTGTTGTTAAAAAGAGTTCAAACAAGTTATCGGAAACAACTAAGGAACTTTTAAGTGTTCGGAGCCGGATAAAAGAAAGAGGAGAACTTTCAGAAAATGAAAAGAAAGAGCTGACAAATTTAAATAGTCTCATAAGGAAAATGATAAAAGAAGACATTGAAAAATTTAATAAAAATACTGTAACCAAAATCCTTTTAAACAATAGGTCTACAAGAAAAATTCAAAAAGAGCTTGCAGAAGGAAAACCTTGGATGGTTTCAATAGAAAATCAGAGAAAGGAAATCACAACCAACCGAGAACATATTAATAAAGTGGCTACAGAATACTTCAGGAAACTGTACGATTGTAATGAAAAATCCTTTGAATCATGCGAGGAAGGAAAGAAGACTAAAAATTTGGAGGAAGTTCCACCGATAATGGAAGATGAAGTTACTATTGCCATTAAAAGGCTTAAATCTGAAAAAAGTCCGGCACCGGATAATATAACAAATGAAATTTTAAAAGCAGGAGGAAAAGCTCTAATTAAAGAACTGTCAGAATTATTTAACTTAATTCTCCAGGAGGGAAAAATTCCAAAGCAATGGAGAATCGCAAAGATAATCTTACTCCATAAAAAAGGCAATATGCATGACATAGAGAATTACAGACACATCTCCCTTTGTTCAACCATGGCAAAACTTTTTAACACTATAATTAAACAGCGACTCACAAAAAGAATTATGGAGTGTATAGCAGATGAACATGCAGGATTCAGAAAAGGATTCTCAACAATAGATCACATTCAGACGGTAAATCAGATGATCGAGAAAACCAAAGAATAAAATTTCTCTCTCTACCTCTGTTTTATTGATTTCAAGAAGGCTTTTGACACCATTTCACATGCAAGTATAATTAAAGCACTTTGAGCAATAGGTACAGAAGAGAGATATATAAAGATTCTAACAGAACTTTATGCAGAAATGTCAGCATACATTATGACAGAAAAGAAAGGTCAAAGCTTCAGGGTTAGGAAAGGGGTTCGTCAGGGAGACCCATTATCACTTATGTTGTTTATCTTGGTGTTGGAGCTGGTGTTTTGGAATCTTGAATGGGGGAATGTTGGTATAAGGGTGAATGGTAAATGGTTGAGCAATTTATGTTTTGCCGATGACATCGTGCTCTTTGCCAAAAACAGTCAACAATTGAAGGAAATGATTATACAACTTTTAAGGTTGTGGAAACAAGTCGGTTTATATCCAAACTATAATAAAACCAAAATAATGTCAAATAGGGAGCCAAAAGAAATAAAAATAAATAAATACACCTTAGAATATGTAAACGAATATGTGTAGGCCAGCTGGTGTCCTTCTCAGATAGAGCAACAAAAGAAGTACAGAGAAGAATCGCAATGGGATGGAAAAAGTTTTGGTCACTGAGGCACATAATGAAAGGAGATTTAGATGTGGATTTTAAAAGACAGACCTTCGATAGCTGTATCCTCCCAGTAGTGACATATGGTTCTCAAACTTGGTCGTTAACTAAGGTCCACGAGAGAAAAATCCAAGTGTGGCAGAACAGCATTGAGAGGAGTATTATGAAGGTAAAGAAAAGAGACAAAATAAGATGCACTAAACTAAGGAAAGAAACAGGCCTCAAAGATACAATTTTATAGTTGAGGAAAATTAAATGTAAATGGGCTGGTCACCTATTACGTAGCAATGATGTTAGGTGGTCGAAAATAACAACCGAGTGGACGCCATATGATCTAAAAAGGAAGAGAGGCCGACCAGTGAAGAGATGGTGCGATGTATTCAGGCTGAAGATGGGACCCCTCTGGTGGAGAGACGCTAAAGACAGGGTTATATGGAAAAAGAAGTGGACAGAGCTCACGGACCCCGCTTCTCAACAGGGCTAGTCACTCAGAGAAGTGCTGACTACTACTCCCTCACGGGAAGGCCTGTGCAGGAAGAAAGACAGAAGAAGAAGTGTATAATAGTGTATGTGTGTGTGCGTATCCATGTAGATATGCATGCTATTTTATATTAGTAGTTATAAAAAAAAAATAAAAACCATTTGTACATATGTAACTACTTATTTTGTATAATAAAGGCTATTTCATTTCATTATATGATAATATTATCTCATTTTATTGACTGAATGAGGTCAAAACCACTAAACAGCAGAAACAAGTACTTTTTACTTAAGCTAAAAAACATTTTACTGCCTCCTAAATTCTACCAGCCAGGGCTAAGAAAATAAAAAGTTATTGTGAATAGTGGGAACCAAATCCACACTCCCAAAGAGAAATTACAGGAATCAGTGACATAGAACTGCTTAGTCCTGCAGCTAATCATTAAAATACAAGTTAGACAGAACAAAGATCAAAGGCTTTCCTTGAGCATGAAATCTAGAACTATGCTCTGCCCATAAGATTTCCCATTAAATTTGTTGCCTATATTAATCAACGATAATGTCTAAGACCTTGGAAATTGGCATGATGAATCTCAAAATATATTATTGATAAATTTATGTAACAATTGAAACATAAAAATTTGAAGTTCCTGATTAATTATTCATTAAAAAATTATAATTATATTCACCCTTCATCTATTAAAATCAGCTTCCAAACTTACTACAGAGCATTAACTGCCTTCTTAGGAGATCCTAATAAAATAATTTAAAAAAACTACAAATGAACAGGAATAAACTAAAGGAAAAAACTTAATGATTTAATTTTTATTTCTTTGATATAAAAAATAATAGTTTTTCATCGTTAAAATCAAATACACTTTTTCTACAATTTTCTTTAATTTCGTAGCTGACAATATCTTCCAAGTTTGTTTTAGTCACAAAGACAGGTTAAATATTGATAAGTTCAATCTTATCATTAGATCATTATTGATTAAAATACACACTGCACTCGGAATAGTGACAATAGCTTGACAGATATAAAAATATTATAAAATGAACATTGCAGAAGATACATTTAATTATCTTATCAATTTCTTCACTAATGTCCATAATATACTTTTCATTCAATATTGCTGAATAAAAACTGCAAAATACCAATAAGTTAATTACCTCTTTGCTTTTTTTTCTGCAGATTTGAATGTATGACCAAATTTAATGCAAAAGGACATACATGTTTTATCCATCAGATTATATTGAGTAAACATTCATTCAAAATAATTTTGAATTGTGTCAATTGCTTCGTTTTATAAAAATTCAATTCATTATAATATCATCTATATTTGCAAAAGCACAAGAACCCAGACCAGATCTGGACATCAATTGTATCAACTCTTTGGCATGTGAAATAGCAATCTCCAATGGAGGTTTCCGAGCCATGTTACTTGAATCTAAAATAGCTGAATTCAATTGAGCACAAACATTTTCCCTCTGAATAGGGTCCAATTGCCAACCAAGAGGGCTAGTCCAAGGATTAGCATAAGCTAATAAACTGAATGCGTCTTGAAGCATCTTCTTATTCTGAACATTTGATCCACTTTCATGAACTAACATTTGGCTGTAATTATACAGTTCGCGCCCGAAATCTAAAATTTTTTCAATTGCATTACGATTTCCACATGTTTTCCTTAAGCCGCTACCTAAATCATTACACATTGAAACATCATCTGAAACATAACCATTTTGCAGGCCATTGCATGAATTTTTCTCACTTGAATTGATTGTATCAGAAGTAGAATCGAAAGATCCATTGACCTCAGCAATGTTTCTGAATGGGTTTGTAGATTGAATTACAGAAGTATGGGCAATATGCCTATTGTTACAATCAATATCACTTCCATTAACCATTTCTATGAATTGGCGGCATTTCAATAAAAATAATAAATTGGGTCTACTTTCCAACAAACCTGGATAGAGTCTCCAAGTAAGATCGATAGCCTCACTCATTCGTCCAGCTAGTATTAGTTTCAAAATTTTTTGTCTATTTTTAATTGAAGCTATTTCTTCATTGAATTCTTGACCAGTGCTAGAGGCAAATGCTCCAGCAGTAGCACAATAGCCATGATGAACTAAATACGAAGAAACCAGCCTATGCAATACCATCTGTTGTTCTCCATGGCTGTCATGAATTGGAAAATTTTCGATTGTCGACCTTGTTCTTGCTCGTAACTCTTTCATCATATCTTCTATGTCAAATACAAATGGAGCTTGGCCAAAATTGGCATCAACAACTTCACCAGGAGTCTGTAATCCAACTGTTGGATACAAATTATTAGGTAAATCAGTAAAAGCGACGCCTAAATTATGGCCATTTTTTGTATAAAAGCAAGTATTATCAATTAAATTAACACCACAACCAATTACATCGCCAGTAGTGAAAGTTGGACCATAAGGAAGTCCTGTCCCAGAAGAGCAAAAAGAATGGCCATCATCACCATGGTAACCATACGAATGTTTGTCCCAGCCTGGAAGTCTATTCATATTAACTCCTTGGGCAGATAATCCAACCCCCATATATCCGTCACGACCTTTGCTAACAATCTTTACTTCAAAATAATATAAACCACATGCAGCTGGGATAGGGTGTAGAGCTCTGACACTAGCTGCATCTTTGTGTGTTTTTCCATGACCTTTGTAGTGCACCCTCAAGTTTCCATTGGATAAACCAATATAGTTGAATTTGTCTTTCGGACTCCATGATTTAGGAAGAGGTGTTTCATCTTCGTTTACCATAGGATAAAGAGCTTTCAGCCTTGCTTTGAAATCTATTTTAATTTCACTATGCCTGTCTTCCATTTCTTGGGATGAAGAAGCCATCTGTTCTAATGTTCTTAGCTCCATCATACTATCTTTGAAAATGCGAATTTACTACAAAGTCAATAGTCAAGATTGCTGAATATAAATCACAAAGAAAAAAAAGAGGTGTTCAACAGCTACTTTTCAAGATGGAGTCTACAATAGGCCTCAAAATATTATTTTATGTTTTAACTCGATCATAATTATTTAATTGATCTTTTAAAATTCCTTTTATTTATTTATTTACTTTCTTAAAAGTGTCACTAAAAACTGTAAAAAGACGATTTTATAAAACTATACCCGTACAAAATAGAAGAAAACAGATAGGAAACCTATTAACAATGAAATGGTGCTAAATCATGTTTGGGTAGAGTGAAATGACACTTCTCAGATGCGTAGCTGTAAGTACATTAGCACCAGTATGATAAATGAAATCTGAAACAAAAATTAAAACCAACATGAAAACCTAAATAATAATAAAATACAATATATAACAAAATGCATAATAAAATCAGCCTAAACATGTTTAAAAAACATTGGATATAAAATCAGTTTATAAAATCCTTATTTTCAGTTTTACAGACAAAGATAAATACTTGGTATTTCACACTTCATATTTTCAGACTAAGTTAAATTCTTAAATCTTTAATGCTTCAAAAAACATTAATTAAACCCATATCTTTACGATTAGCCGGCAGATTCCAAAATTCGTGGTAGAACCACAGAATGAATCTCGATCTCGCTCCGGCTAAAATAGGTTGTAAACAAGTAGGATAACCACTCTTTAAGATAAAAAAAGAAAGGCATGTGCTATTATCATTTAAACCTGACATAATATATCATAATTTTTAATTAACATATTCAATTTGCTAGACCTTGTCTTAACATTTTTGAACCAATGGGGTGCTTGCATGAAAAAATATACATCACATAACTTTCGCTCATCAGCCAATCCTAAGTAGAAAAAATAAGTATCCCCATACGTAGGGTATTGAAAATAAAATCATAGATGATGTTTGAAATATTTAAAACAATTACTATACACTTTCCCACCCATCTAATACGTTAAATAAAGACATTTTTCATCACTTTCTACATTCTTATAGACTATATATTATCTACTAATATTATTGATAACTAGTAAAAGTGGATTTTTTGGAAAAATGTTGAACTTTATCCAAAACATTAATCACAAAATGCATTGAAAGAATGAGTTAATATTATTAGAACCTTAACATCTTTTGTGAAAATTTCTGTTTTAAAATTGAAATATAACAGTTAAAATAACAATAGGATATCCATGTACAGAGTAATTTAAATAGAGATAGAACCCAAAAAGTAAGGGAATGTCGGACTCCCAGTTTTTATCTCTATAGACTTCAGTCCAAAGGTGGGAAACAAGCATCTTCCAACACAATAGTCTGACCTCAGTCTAGGCCACATAACCAGCATTTTTAATATTATTATTTTAATTGAAAAGTGAATTATATTATAGCAATAATTTTTATTTATAATTTGTGCTAAAAAACAACAAATAATTTTAAAAGTCTGAATATTTATATAAATATTAATATTTATATTACATATATTTATATATGTAATATATTTATAATTAATATAATATATTTATGTATGTAAATATTTATATTTATATACATATATATAAAACACAACTGATTCACAAGTGCGACTCCAACTCAAAAACTTTTATGGATCTTACAAAGAATTGTGTCTCAAAGAATTAGTAATTACCTGTATTATGTATTCATTCTTTACTTGTCAAATATTTGCAAAATGCCGAAGTTTGGTAAAAAATAAAATCTAATGTGATTTAGTTTTTACAAAATGGCAAAAATTTAGTTTTAACTTTATTCAACTGAATTCTTCGAAGAAATACTTTAATGTTATTTTAATTGAAATGACAATGATAGAACGAAAAAACATAAGCGAAAACACATTTCAAACTAAATATTAGACAACAAAGTGAAAGGAAAACAATAACATATTTCTTGAAAGGAAGTTTTAAAACTGGAAACACTTTTCCACTAAACAAGATGTTTAGTACCTAATACATTATTCAGTCTAAAGGCTTCAAGAAGGTTATTAAAATAAAGTTAGTCTGTTTAAATTAAATGAATTATATCAACTTGCTTAGCAATTTTGGTTTGGAATAAAGTGAAATATATCAATGAGTTGACAGATCATCTGTCTGTTCCTATTCCTCCAGTTAGATTTCACAGTAACATTATTGGAATGTTACACAAGTCATTCCAATAAAACTGACTTCTTTACTTCAAACTAAATATTAAAATTCTGAAAAAATATTATTGGCAGAAAGAATAACAACTAAAAAATTAAATATCTATACAATATAATGAAACAAATGATTCTTAGAATTTTCTGAGATGAAAATTTACAAAATAATAATCATAACTCTCTCCGCATTACAATTTTTGTAATAGAGATAAGGAAAGTACTGATCGCTAAATGGAGTATTTTTGGCAGCTGCGTTTTAAGTTCTTTAACTCCTTACTGGGTTATCAACACGAAATTTATAGAATTACCTTATAAAAAACTCCTTACGCTAATAATATTTCACTTGAGATGAACAATCACATTATAATTTGAAGAATAGAACTTACTATATTGTATTCATTCTATCGCTGTCAAAACATTGGCCATTGTCAGAAACGAACACAAATAAATACTAACTTATCAAACTCACTTGAGATAACCTAATGTAGTTTTTGCGCATCCTGCATATAGGTAGAGCCAACAGTCTCTACTGCACTAACTATACCTCTTAGCTATTCTTAAATTTCTTACTTTTTATGAAATATAGTTTTAGAGAAAATTTTATTTCACGATCGAAACGTTTTAGATCCGCACAAACATATTTCGTTAATCAGTAAATAATAATAATCCAGATCAGAGTGAGTAGAGTAACAAGATTTTGCTCATCTATCCTCACTGGTCTCTTTCTTCTGATTATTTTGATACGTCTACGTCACTCGGGAGAATGTTCTTTTTACTGTAACAGTTATTAATTGCATATCTAATTTTCATTAGTTTCCGGGGTCCATTTAAATCGAAAATAAAGTAATATATAAGTAATGGTTTAATTTATACTGTTTTTATTTTATTTATTTTTTATATCAATTTTATTTTATACTGTTAAGTCGTAGTAATGGGACAAGGACACCATAGTTGTGGTGTTGCTGTTTGTCGCAACACTTCAATTAATGCGAAAAAAAGGGGATTAGTAATACATTTTTTTAGATTCCCTCAAGATTCTATTATTAAAAAAAAGTGGATTGTTAAATGTAGTCGAGCTGACAAAAATTTCAACCCCAACAACGCCAGGATCTGTAGTGATCATTTCACAGTAGATGACTATGAAGATTCTTTAAAGGCAAGATTAATGGGAAAAACGCCTATAAAGTTAAAGAAAACTGGTAAATAAAAAAAATGACACAAGTAGTTACCAACAAATGAATTAGTTTAGTTATTTCATTATAAATTTATGTTGTTTCTTTTTTAGCCATCCCAACATTGCTTCTACATCCTTCAGAGCCAAGAAAGCAACCCAAACCTTCGATTAGGCAAGTGGGTAGAAAGAAACTGAAAGACACCATTAGCCAATTGATAGATGAAGATTCCAACCAAGAACTAATGCCTATCCCAGAAGTTACTCCAATCTCATCTCACCTCTCTGGAAAAATTAAATCTTTGGAAGAAGAGGAATTGAATCTCATTAAAAAATTGAAAAAAAATGAAGAATCAGTGCCACAGAAAACTGAGTCATTAATAAAGGAGAATAAGGAGCTGAAAAAAAGATTTGCTTCAAAACCAAATAATATTCTCAAAAGTAAGAGTTACTAATTATTCACGGATATTTTGATGAAAAATCTGATTAAATTATAATAAAAATAAGTTATGATAGTCAAACTATAATTGTAATAACAAAAAATTATTGCCTAAATGACAATAAAAAAAACAAAGAATAACATTTTATATACATATAGTTCGAACGAACCATTCAATCATTTTTTATGCAACTTTGGGGCCATAACAATCAAGGTAGCTATATTAAACAGATGAAAGAATTACTCTAAACCTTCTATATTGCAAAAGAAGATGACCTGGATAGAGAAAAATACAGCATAAGAAATTTTTTTAATTGATGATACCTGTGAGGAAAATTATAGCACAGGAAATTGAGCTGAGGAAAAAAAGAGCCAAGCAGGCAGAAAAATTGCCATATTTATTCTTCCTACTTGTAGTAGTAATGATGATCATATATTTACAAAAATTCAGTTGAAATTAGCATTTAAAATTCTATATGCATTGAGGATAAGATTTTATTTATAATTTTTATGAGATTATATCTACAATTATTTAAAAAAATACAAATAAAATTCTCAGGATACTAGGCAGAATGGGGTTCAATCTATAGAATAATATAAATGAAATGGGGCAAGTAGACCCTCCTAGCTTCACTGAAAGGGTTGTATATTTACTGATCCAAAAACCCTGCTTGTTGTGGCATATTGGAAGATTAGCCTCTATTGAGAAGTCTAATCGATTATATATGAAGGTTAAACTCATTAATACCAAGTACAATCATAATTATTATCACCTGCCAATTCTTGAAGGAAAGTACTTCAACTGATTCTGTATAACCATGTTATATGTATACCATGTGTGTGAGTGTGTACGAGCTGTAGCTATCGAATGATGAGACTGATGCTCTAATGCATGGTACGCCCCCTGAAGGAGATGACAGAAGATTTCCAGAACTATTTCACACAATGAAAGATTCACATGGAGGGTTGTAGGGAAAGAGGAGACATATATACTGAAGGTCATAATAAGTAAATATGTATGAAATCAAAATAAAATGTTTTACTTTGTCAATTTCATTAATTAATGTAGGTGAATATAAAGTAAATAATTCTAAAATATGGTGTATTGTATTTGATAATACTTAAGGTTACTTCAATTATAACTTATAGTTCATTTACATTTCAAGGATAAATAGTTGCTTTATTACTATATTTTGAAGTGTTTTAAATTTTCAATTGAACATGTAATTTTTACAGGTCCGAGTTCTAAAAAGACAAAAATAAATAAACGTAAGTAGTACTTCATTTAATTTAAATAACTTATAGTTTGTAATTAACTTTTTATAATTATTTCATATTTGATTGCAACAGAATCGTATGATATGGAATTAGAGAGAAGGGTTTCTCAATTCATCGCTTCTAAGGTAAAATATTCATTATATCATTGTAATTAATTATCTGAGACAAGAGAACTAGGCTTGTATTGTAAAACAATTCTAATCTTGGCTTTTTAAGTTAGTAGACTTTTTAGGTATTATGCCATAATTCAGTAGATACATTTCTGGTTCTCTAAGCCAAAAAAAAATTAAACAGGAGATGAATCTGAAATAAGGAGAGCACAGTGCAGACTATTGTTTCACAAGAATAATTTTAAGTCTAGAATCAGTCACTTCTACCAATAGGTCTGTTGCTGATGATTTCTTTTTTTTATTATGAACTGACTGTTAATCAAATTTAATTAATTAATTGTTAAATATTGCATTTTGCTTATTTAATTCAGTAAATTGCTAAGTACACTTTCGGTGTTGATAAACTAGAAGGCAAATATATATGTGTGAAATTTTATTATATTTACTTAAGCAAAAACTATCATATTTACTTCAAGAAAAAAAAAAAAAAATAAAAATGCTTCAAAGAACACATATTACATTATTTGTCAAAAATAGTTATAATTACTGCAAAATGTCCTGATTCAAAACGGAAAATCAATCAAATTACATTACTTGGTGATTTAATTTTATAAAGTATTACTTGATGATTTTTGACAATAACGCATCAATTTGTCTCCTAGCAATTTTTTAGTTGTCTAAAAATGATTTATCTATTTTTTTTGTAACAGGTGCAGATAATAGTTGCAGAATTATTATAAAATGGGATCTTTAACATCTCATGAAGAAATCTCTCAAGATATTGTACATTGATATTTTAGTAATTATTTGATAGTTAATGGAATCAATTTTAAGATTTGTTTGCAATAAATCTTTTTTTTATGTATTTAATTAGCCCCTCATATTCTACCCAACCCAATTCCTTGATCAAGAAAACAACAACCGACTTGAAATTGGATTCTCCTTTCCTTTGATGTTCCTGAAGGAAGTGAAACTCAGTGACGAAGATGCTTCTATTCTCCAGGGCCAGGATTCGAGTCCAGTTGTAGCAGGTAATTATTTATTCTGTTACAACAGCTGTAACTGCACTCATGAATCAGAAGACTCTTCTGAAACATACCTAGCCTCTATGAAATGGGTATTTTTATTACAAAGTTTTTTTTTTTTTTAATCCTGAAAACTATTCAAGACCATTTTCTGTAATGGGATCTTAAAAAATCCTATTACTCCTTGATTTTTCTGTAGCCTGTGGATTAGTGGATCACAGCATTCTTCTCTTCTGACTCTTTTTATCCTATGTTAATATAAAAACTAGATACACGAAATAAAACAGCCATAAATCTTACAATATATATTTATTTTGTATTCTATAACGAAAGTAAGTCCATAAAACCATTAGACTTACAATTGCACCTTTCTGGTGTTCTGCAGCAAACATATTGATGACGTTTTCGAAATCAGTTTTATCCTGTTCTTCTCACTCCACACTGAGCAAAGCTAGGTCGCATAACCTTATTGTCCCACTGTAGCCTTCAAATACTAAAGCATTAATTTTAACTGGCTAAAATATCATCCACAATTTGCTATGTTTACTGTATAATTTGAATGGAAATGCGCATATTCGGAAATACTCTTTCATCCCCTTACTCCTAATAAATAGAAGTTAGCTCTTCGTGTTTTTTTATGTTGACAATTTTCTTGAACATATTAGCATTTGAAAATCCAATATTTATCCCAATAACTGTTCCCTGTTAACATCGCAGTCATATAAATCTCTAAATTCTTTACATTTCTTTATAAAATCGTCATAGTCAACAGTGACATAATCCAGTGTTTTAAAACTTTGATCCTTTTACTGGTTTTTCAAATCCATTTTTAACATAAAGACTTCAAAGGGTTATAATTTTGTAAGATATGGTGTGTAAATAAATAATTTCCTTAGCTATTTTACTAGTAATTAGCCACCCAAATTCCCTCCTGCTTGTCAGCCACTGCTCAACATGTAGATATCACAAAATTGTTTTAATGTAGGCTGTATTTTTGGTTTAGTTGAATTTTTAAGTAAATACTTTGCGAATTTTGCACTCCCTTTGAATGGCATCCAGGGCACTTGCCCCACCCTGGATATGCCACTGCCTGTCCCCCTCCCTCTTACTCTTTCACTAAAACATGAAGCTATTTATATCATGTTTATGATAAGTATTTGAAATGAACAAATGAAATAACTAATAGTTATAATGAAACATCAACGTTACCAAATTGCTAAAAGATTGATGTCAAATATAACTTTTTCATCAGTCTTAACAATTAACTATTGATTTTTTTAATTAATAAAAATGAAGATAATGGTGATTTAAATGGTCAAATATGTTAAACAAACAAATTCAAACTTAATAAGAAATTCTGTAATTTAATTCCTTAAATATAATTGTAACCAATGATATTAGCTTAAAATGTATAGAATAATTTTTAGA